ACAACATCCCTAAATGCCTCTGCCTGTATGGCTGTGGTAGCCTCTGTGCTTGTTTTCATAAAGATGTTAATTATTGCAACAGCTTTCTTTTAAATAAACAAGTGATTTCCAGTGATGCAGTCTGACTAATAGCTTTATGTGTCCCTAGGAATGCTGATGCTCCCTTTCCCCTTGGCAAATGGAAATTCTGTTGTTTCATGTCATAATTCGTGATATGTTCTTTCATAGTCATAATTGGAGTGTCATTCGTGATTTGAATCCCTATTGCAAAGTCCCCTGAGCCCTCTGTACAGAGCACTAGGCATGTTTTTGTTCTGCACTGGAAGGTGAGGGAGAGTGGTCCAAGTTTTGCTGGATGCCTCTTTGTGCAAATCTTTTGTCACTGACACCATTTCAAGAGAACAACTATAAATCTCAGGGTCTGGGCTCTGCAGAACTGAACATGAGAAAAGAGTTCAAAAAGCTTGTAGTGTTTCACTGGAGTGAAGTCCCTTTAAATCTGCCTGTCTTTTGATTGAGATGATTTTGATTGAGATGTTTTAGATCTTGTAAATTCTGTTTCCTCAGTGAAATGAGTTAGCAGCCAGTGCTGTAGCCAAGGACATGGATCCATGGTGTCTGCTGATGGGATATTCCAGCTTGCTCTGAGAGAAGCAGAGGGTCTGTGGGCTCTGAGCCATTGCATGTCACTGGTTCTGCTTTGGAGTTCCCCACTGCAAACAATTAATTCTCTCAGACATACTGAAAAGCTGCTTATTTGGGTTTGGTTTTGTGCTATGAAGTCTTATGTAAATGGCCTTTTTATTGGCTTGAATAAAGGGATGGTAATGGGACACTTTGCCCACTTTCCAGGATAAAATGAATCACCCGCCTCTTCACCATCCCGCTGTGGATGCAGGGGGGCAGAAGGATACAAATGCCCCAATAGTTGTTCTTCCTAAGCAGGAATGGAAGGAAGGATGTGATTACATGGCCACACAGGACCAGTAAAATTTTAATTGCATTAGGCATACACCAGTAGTCTGAGACTGTTCCCACACTGGCTTATGTCACTGAACTCCATTGACTGGAGTCACAGAATCACTTCCAGCAGAAAAAGATGAAAACTAAATTGTACAAGAGAGCCATTTGTTACCAAAATAAATAAATAAGCCCTGTTCTGGGGGTGATTGCTATGGACATAGGCTGGTGAGTGACCTGGAGCCCAGTGTCACTGCTGGCTGCCCCAAGGCTGCAGGAGCCCTGCTCAGCCTGGGCCCAGACTGGGAAGTTCCCCTGTGCCAGACACCCCCAGTTCTTACCCATGGCTGTGCTCTCTTTGCACTTCTCCATCACTTATTCCTTCCTTCCTCCAAACCACTTTTTCCCATCCTTCCTTGCATATTTTTTTCTCTTTTCTTTCCCATGGGAATAATTTAGAAATCTGGTGATGTGAAATGCCATTTGGAATAAATGGAAATGTCAGCATTTCTATGTGCCACATGCACAGGTGCTGTGCTCCGCTCACTGGCACCCAGGGCTGCTTGCTTGTGGGGAACATGAACTACAGCAGGCTGGTAGATCCCCCCTGGGCAACAGAAATGGGGCCAAGAGGTAGCAGGAATGGGGCACAAAGGTAACAGAAAGGTGGAGAAATGGTGTGGAGAGCATTCTGCTGCTGATCCTGGGTGACAGCAGCAGCTGATTGCTGTGCACTCTGGAGTGCAATGCTGCCTTGCTGATGAGTAACCCAGCCCAAATGTGCTGGGTTTAAATTACTATTATTTATTTTCCTGATTACATGAGAAATGTACTCCCAGAGCACGTGACCATGAGGTGTTCACCTGTTTGTCTTGACTTATCAGAGGAGGCTGTGATCCAGGCACCCCTGACCCCTCTTTCCGTAGGTATAGGGAGAGAGTGAGGCAGTTCTCTCTGATCATCCCAAACACACCTGGGCCCCTTTCCTGGCCACCATCCCAGGGCAGGTTGGCTGCTTGGAGCAGATCAAGTATGGATTCATCATTGATCACTTTGGGATGCAAACCCCAGGATTAACTATTGCAAAAGGCAAGTTGGGTGAACTCTGCTGTGCCAAAATTGAATGTGAACAGAAATTGCAGCCCTGACTCTCATGATCCTTTTGTTGATGCTATGAGCTCTAGATGCCCATGGATGCCATTGACCCAGATAGATGTAAAGGCCTGATCCTGCTTCCCCCCAGGCAATCCCTGGGAGCAGGGCAGAAGCAGGACAGAAGCATATGGCTGTAGCCAAGCGTCCGCCCATGGCAGTGCTGTTCCCACAGGCACCTTCCCAGCTTTCCACTTTCAACTTAACGGCATGGATGGATACAAAACAGCACTTCCAGGCTGCTGTTGAGGGAGTAATTCCCAAGATTTGAGTGTAACCAGCTGTCTTGGGTTACAATACAATGCAAGATGCAACCAGAAGTATGTATTCTATTACCATCTGTTAAAACCAGCTGTGGCAGTGTTCTTTATCTCTTCCATGACCTATGCTCCCTCCAGGGGGATATTTGCTGTTAGTGGGACATTGAGTCTCACTGCACAACTGATAAAATTATAACATCCCATTGGGAGATGCTCCACCCAGGGGGAGGAGCCCAGTATTCCTACCTGGATATAATCAAAGAACAACACAGGCAGCCTTTCTCCAATGGATTCCCAGAGGAGAGACCAGACCCATCTACACCACTGGACCTTCAGTGGAAAACTACACCCTTCTACAGGATCACTGCTGCAACAGGACCACATCTGTCACTCCAGGAGGACTGCAGCCACCATTTAACTGGACTGCTACCAACACCCTGACCAACAGGGTGTCAGGCTGTATTCTGTCTGTTAGTGGAGTTTTTTTGCATTTGCATTTTTATTTTAATTTTCCTAGTTAAGAACTGTTATTCCCGTATCTTTGTCTGAGAGCCCCTTGATTTCAAGATTATAATTCGGGATGGAGGTGTGTGTTATATTTTTTCCATTTCAAGGGAGGTTTCTGCCTTCCTTAGCTGACACCTGTCTTTTCAAACCAAGATATCAGCAAACTGGGTGGCTGCTTTTGATGGGACAGGCTGTTTCTGGGAGCAGACAGTCTTAACAGGGACTTGCTGAAATGCTTTTGCACAAATTGGCAATTCATCAGTAAATTAATAGCTCCCTTGCTAAGCTCTCCCAATTTTTGTAGTAAAAGTATGTTTGTCAGGCTGCTTTTCGTAGTCTGCTGTTGAGAAATATTGAGGGGAAAAATCAGTATTCTCTCAGTTCATAGAATCATTTTATCCCACAATGATTTGGTTTGAAAGGGACCCTGTCCAGTTCTGATTGCCCTGCCATGACCAGGGATTCCTTATTATACCAGCTTCCTCCAAGCTCCATCCAGCCTGTCACTGAACACTTCCAGGGATGGGGCATCCACAGCTTCTCTGGGAAACCTGTGCCAGTATTTCACCACTGTCACAGTTCATCCTAGCATCATTGTAGTCACATAGTATTTTATCAATGTGGAGATTTCTGAAAAGATGCTCAGATCTCAGGAGAAAATGATCTCCTGTGTGGGTATTTCCCAGTAACATAATCTGGATGTGATTATTGGAGGGATTCAACCATTCTTAAAGAGGCTGGTTGTGGTCACAGAGGATTTGCAGTCTGGAATTCTCTGGGAGCAGAGGAGACTGTGGGATGTTGGGTCAGCATCAGGGAGCAGCCTGGCGTTTGGGCCAGAGCTCTCAGGGGGAGACGGATGACCCTGATCATGGGCTCTGTGTCACTGTCCCCTTGCTGGTGCCTTCATCATTTCATAACCCAAAAGTCAATAAGGTTAATTGTTTGTTATGTTGTTTGTTTTTTTTTCCCTTCTGCAAACTTACAATCCTTCTCCAGAGTCTTGTGCAAGGGGTGCCCCCCTGTTCACCACCCAGCCTGTGCCAGCCCCAATGATCACTTGGTACAAACATAGGAGAAAGCTACTAGGGGATAGTCCTGACCCTCAGGACTTCAGGATAGTGCAGCCCAGACGCTGTTTCCAGCAGGAAAAAAGCAACTTTGTGTTAGTGGTGCTGTTGTGTGTGAAGTGGTGACCCCCTCATGGAAGTGAAGCTATGTAGCTCCACAAGCTGGAGTAAGGCCAGAGGGCAAGACGGAAGGGGCTGCCTGGGCTCATGTGGCTGAAAAACTTTTTTAAGACTTTGACTCTTGTAAAGCCATAAATAGAGCTGTGGGAAACCTTAACTGTTTGGATTCCCTCTGGGCAGCACCTGCTTGGCTCATCCTTCAGAGGGCTGGCTGATACTGGAGACTCCCCAGTGTGGAGCTGATATGGGGCTGTCACTGTAAACAGGAGTTATTTAAAATGCTTCTTGTGTATTCAAAACCCAAACATGAGTCCCCTGAGGGCAGCCTGACCTCTCAGTCTGGAGCAGTGAGCCACCTGCCTGGCTCCTTATCTCTGGTGCTGTTTCTGTATGTGCAAAAGGGAAAAGCAAGGCAACCTGCTGCAGCAGTCTGGATTGATGCCTGATCCACAGTGTGACCTTGCCTTTCCCAGAAGCAGCTCCCACTCTTTGAGTCCAGCACAACTGGCTGTGCATTCCTGCTCAGGGAAGGCAGAGAAAGCTCCTAGCAGCCCTGAGGGGTCATAGCTGGATCCCAAAGCTTGTCCCAGCATCTCTCAGTCCAGATAACTGCAGCTGCATCACCTCCTGTACATTGGTACTTGGTTGTGCTTAGGGAGTGAGCTTTTGCTCACCCTGCTACAGATGCTTCCTCCTTTCTTCTATCTCTTCCACAGATGGTGTTTTTCTCTGTTTTATATTATTATATATATGTATGTGTATTATATTATTAAGGTGGCTATTGGCAGGCAGCCCCAGGGCTCAGCAGAGCAGGGTGTCTGCAATGGCTGATGAGGCAAAGCATGTTCTCCCCTCCCCAGAGGTCCGTGCTGCCTCTGCCCATCCGCAGCCTGACCTCACCAGACCTGACCCATCCTTCTGGCTCTTGCAGAGTTTGCCGTTTCACTGGTGGAGAAGATGCAGGCTCAGGAAATCCTGCGGAGCCTGCGGCTCCCCGAGTTCGATGACCTCAGCCAGTTCTTCCGCAACCTGCCGGCCACAGCGCTGGTGGGCATCGGTGCCTTTGCAGCTGTCGTCGCCTACTGGTTTGCCAGCCGGCCCAGGGCTGTGAAGCCACCCTGTGACCTGCACATGCAGTCAGAAGAAGTTGAGGTGAGGCCACGGCAACCCCCGCTGGCTTTCTCCAAGATTTGCATGCCTGGAAGTCATAGAATGGTTTGGGTTTCAAGGGAACTTAAAGATCATCTCATTCCAACCTCCTGCTATGGGCACTAAACTGCGCTGCTCCGAGCCCCTTCCAGCCTGTCCTTTAACACTTGCAGGCATGGGGCAGCCACAGCTTCTCTGGGTAACTTGTGCCAGCGCCCTACCACCCTCACCAGGGAGAATTTCTTCCTAGTATCTAATTTAAACCTACTTTATTGCAGTGTAAAGCCACTACCTCTTGTTCTGTCACTATGTGCCCTTGTAAAAAGTCCCTTTCCAGCTCTCTTGTAGGCCCCCTTCATTAAGGTCTTCCTGGAGCCTTTTCTTCAGGCTGATCAACCCCAACTGTCTCAACATTTCCTCATAGGGTAGGTGTCCCATCCCTCTAATCACCTTCATGGCCCCCTCTGGACTTGTTTCTACAAATCTATGTCCACAGGGGATGCCAGGAAGGCTTTCTTTTGTTGTTTTGGAAGTTTCCCACCTCATCCTGAAGTCAACCATGTAATGCACTGTGCCGTGGATCACTTCACCCCTTAATTTATTTTTTTCTGTAAACTAAAAAACTAGAATAGAGCATGTTATTCTCTTAGATTTTCAGTAAAATTTTGGTCATCACTTTGCTTAACCATCCATGGCCAAAAATTAGAGGCACTGCCATTGCATGGGAGAAACAATGGAAAGGCAACAGCTGATGAGAACAGATCACCCAGCACTCTTCATGTGTGCCCATTGCTGAGTTTGGGGCTGCAAACTTGGTAGTAGTAAGAAAAAGTAAACCTTAGGTAAGCATTTACTTAGGTAATTAGAGGCTGAGGAGTTGCCTTAATTGTTATGCTTGCAAAAGGCTCTAATGATGCCATTCTGTTTTAAAGAACAAAAATATTTCTGAATATTGTCTCTGCTTATTTTAATATCTGAAAGTGGGATGAGAATTTTTAAAGCCTTTTGTGATGGTCCCTCTAAAACATCATTGTCTTTAATTCCAACAGCTTTTTAAAAGGGTGTGAGTAATTAACATTTTTCAAGATGGTTTTTCCCTGTGGTTAGGGCTTTAGTTAGGCTGTTTTTTCCAGTGCAGTCCTGGTTTGGTCAGTCTCACCCTGGATGCCCACACCTAAAACACCTCTGCTGAGCTCATGGCACTGGGGGCTGGCCTGTGCCTTAGTCTGTCCTTCATGTTGGCCTGGATGTCCTTGTGGAGGTGCTAGTCCTGGAGACCTGTGGTGCCCAGAGCAGCTGCTTCCCCCAGCACATCCCCAGTCCATTACTTCGAGACCCATAATTCCTTATTAAATTCCCTAGGGAAATATCAATGATCTCAGTGACAATGAGCTGGATCAAATGCTCCTCTATGACTGTGTCCCTGAGGTGCTGAGGTCAATGTTCCCCCTCTCACATCCCTTTGTGTCTTTGGGCAGGTGGTGGTCACAGAATACCTGCTGGTATTTGGGGAGTGTGCTGCTTTGTGGTGGGGGTTTCCCCATCTCCCAGCCCTTGAACAGTGCTGATGGCTGTGTCATCTCAGTCACCTCATTTCACACAGGGCCTGGCTGGGGCACGCCGCTCAGTGATTGGGGACAGCCCGCAGCTGCTGACGCACTACTACGATGATGCCAGGACCATGTATGAGGTCTTCAGGAGGGGATTCAACATCTCTGGTGAGAACACAGTGGTGAGAAGGCCTAGGATCAGAAGTTAGGAGAGGTGGGGACCAGGCCATGCAGATGTTCTTACCCCACAGTCAATGATATTGTCACAAAGCTCTCACACACTTGAGAGACATCGTTTCCCACTCCAAATAGCCATGATGACTCTTCCCTGCTCTATCTTAATTATTTCTGTGTCTGCTGTTTATGGTGTCCTGCCTCATTGGATACAATAGTGTCATGGTCAGATTATTCTTTTTGGTACCATAAAAACCCCCAATGAAACTGCACATATTCTTCCCCACAAGATGGGTAAATAAAGGACATGGTAGGTGTATGGAGGAATGGATTTCTGCAAGTAGGTACCATTAGCAAATTATTCAAACTTTTCAAATTTTCATCTGGTCATGCACAGCTGCATGTTGTTTTACCTTCCTCCAGAGTAGGCTGGACTAAATATAGTAGTTTTCACCTTTTTAAATCAAAAGGCAGTGTAAGTAGTGGGAGCTGATGTTTGGGATGAGTGCTATTATTTCAGACACTAATGCTCATGTCACCTTCTGAGAAGTGTCTTTTAATGAGGTTGTTTGGGGCAAACAGCTATCAGTTGGGAAGACAGAAGCCTTTTTGGGGGATCACAGCAGCTCCCATCAGATGCACTTGTGTGTGTAATTTGCTGGAGATTGCTGTGAGAACCAACCCAATAACTATGGATTTACTCCTGGAGGGCTCCCCCACATTATGGCCCCATGTGTTAACTCCTGCCCCCCCATAACTGATTATCTCTGCTTGTGTCTTTCAGAGAATGGCCCCTGCCTGGGGTTCAGGAAGCCCAAGCAGCCCTACCAGTGGCTGTCCTACAAGGAGGTGAGCTGGAGGTGACACCCACTGTGCATTGTCTTCCCCTGCCCAGCACAAGAAGGAGTGTTGGCGTGCCTGCACGTTAGACTACGATGTTGCTCATGCACCATGTGATGCTTCCTGGTGTCCCCACCTGGGCATATCCAGGTGTTAGAGGGGTGTGTCAGCTTTCAGGGGTTGGCTCCATGCCATGATCCCATTCCTGACAGCAACACTGAGGCACTCTGGAGCCATGGGGCATTGCCAACCTCATCAACTGCTAGTCAGCTAATGATGGTTCATGATAACATAGAAATTGGACTTTTAGATAGGAAATACAATAATTTGAGAGCCTCCCTGTAAGTCTTTGCTTAATTTGGTATTGTTTATATTCCCCTTTTTTTATGTATTATTTCCTCTCCAAATTCCAGGTGGCTGAAAGAGCAGAAGCTCTAGGTTCAGGCCTTTTGCAGCAGGGCTGCAAGCCATGCACAAAGCAGTTCATTGGTGTCTTTGCTCAAAACCGTCCAGAGGTGAGACTTTATGTCCAACTTGATATTGTATTAATAATGTTCCTGACCTGTCAGCTTGTTCTCAAGTTATATGTGCTCTCATGGTCCCTTCTCACCTTTATGCTTCCATGTTCTCCTGCAGTGGATCATCTCTGAGCTGGCTTGCTATACCTATTCCATGGTGGTGGTTCCCCTGTATGACACCTTAGGTCCTGGAGCCATTCGGTACATTGTCAACACAGGTAAAATCAAAACTGATGTGATCTTCTCAGTTTTGTTGCTTAGAATATGGTTCATTTTCTGCTTCTAAAAGACAGATGATCACAGAATCCTAGAATGGTTTGGGTTGGAAGGGACTCATGTGGTTCCAACTCCTCTTCATGGGCAGGGACACATTTCACTAGACCAGGTTGCTCCAAGCCTCATCCAACCTGGCCATGAACACTTCCAGGGATGGGGCATTGTAATTATACTTGTTGAGTGTCTAGAATTCATTTAAAGAGGTTCCTGACGAGCTGTGTGTCCCTGTGCTGCCTCTGTTGCATTTTCCACATGCCCAGTTGTGCATAGCCATGGATAAGGGCTGCTCTGGATGTGGGAATTCTCCATGGCCACCCACTCCTGTTCTGCTTGATATTTTACCTCCTAGACTTTTTAATCTGTGTGGGAATATTTTGAACTGAATCCCAGAATAATCATAAATGTCAGCAACATCTTTGGCATTGATTTAGGTTAGCTAAGGTTGCATTTTTTTTCATGTTTCAAGAGAAGCACGTGTTGTATGCTGAGATTTCTGGTGTAGCCTGGAGTGACTATCAGAACTGATGCAGTGTTAGCTATAAGCCTGCATTAAAAAAGATTTACTGCAAACACTTTGTTTGGCTGTTTTTCTTGCAGCTGACATTTCCACAGTCATTTGTGACAAGCCTGAAAAAGCCAGGCTACTCCTTGACCATGTGGAGAGGAGAGAAACACCAGGCCTGAGCTTTATCATCCTGATGGACCCATTTGAGAAGGAGCTGACAGAGAGAGGGAAGCGCTGTGGGGTTCGCATCCAGACCATGCAGGAGGTAGAAGTGAGTTTGCTCTCCCTCTCCTTTTACTATTTCTTGTAATATCTGTAAAAAGACAGTACAGTGTACAGAGACTTGTGAATTGAGTGCCAGGTTCAGTGTCTGGAGAGCACAAAAAACCAGCTTGTGGCTGATAATACTGATGCTGGGTGCACTTGCCTCTCAGTGTTATTCTTTGTTGATAGCAGAGCCAACATTTTAATTCTTTATCAAATACGCTATCAGCTGCTATTTAAGCATGGGAAGGGGGTTGTTATTTGCGACACTGTCCTACAATGTTACCAGTAAGTAAAACTTTACAAAAGGAAGGCCTTGTAAAATCATGGCTCAAGCCTGTTACTTTGGCTAAGTAGAAAATGATCATGGGAAAGAGACTCAGCGGAATTACGGGTAGGAAAACAAGTCATCTAACCACTGTCTGGTCACATCATGGTGTATAGTGGTTGGTTGGTCACTATGGACCCTCACCCACACTACATGTAGCCTAGAGCCTCACACTTGTTTGAAACACCCTGCATGCAGCTCAAACAACCCAAACACTACTTGAAATCCAAGGAAGGCACTGCAGTTAAGGCAAGAAACTCAGGATAGTGAAGATGACCTCAGTGCCAGCTAGGAATTTGTCTTCTTTAGCCCACACTCTCCCTTAGTGGTTTGCAGGTTATTAACAAGTGGGTTGCACTGCAGGAATTAAAGTGTAAATCACTTTTGTTACTTTAATCTCTTCCAGGATTGTGGCCGTGAGAGTCGACATGTGCCTGTGGTGAGTGTTGGCATTTTGCTTTTCCCACTTACAACTGCAGCAGAAGGGACCTTAAAGCTCATCTCCTTGCAACCCCCTGTCATGGGCAGGGACACCTTCCATGGGTGTTTACTTGATCCAAGTCCTGTCCAGTCTGGCCTTGAACATTTTCAGGAATGGGACAGCCACAGCTTCTCTGGGCAACTTGTGCCAGGGCTTCACCACCCCCACAGGGAACAATGTGCAATATTAGCTTTATTCCCTCTACCTGGAACACTTAACTGAGATAGCTCATCCTGCTATTAACATGTTAATGGGACAGTAATTAAATGCCATTGTTAAGATACCCTAATTCCACTACCTTATCCTAGTGACACTAGGGGAATGTCTCTATACCCTTCACTTTCTGCTGGGGCTCCTATAGTTCAGAAGCACTGCTTGGCAGTATTTATATGGGATATTTTGGGAAAATTGCTTTGGTATTTTTCACTTGCTGCTCATATTCATAAAAAACTCTCAAAAGCAGCTTCTGATATTCAAACTTATTTAGTCATTCATGACCCAAAATATTGCATGTATGGGGTGGTGCTGAGAATACAGAGATGCTGCTGGAAATGGGAACAATCAGCAGCTTTGGAATCCTGACCCCTGTTGTGGAGTTCTTTCCAGAACTGATCTGGAAATTGATGAATTATCTCAAGTTGTCTTCATCTACAGATATAGATGGTGGCTTGGAAAATACTGTGAGATGAACACTAAAGCATGCCCTTAGTACAGCTGGAGCACAGCATAAAGGGAGGAATAGAGTCTGCATCAGCTGAAGAAACCTGGTTATATATGCTGAGGGGAATGATAGCTTTTGATGCCAGAGCAAAAATAGGTTTAGGTTTCTACAATGCCAACAGTCTCTACCACTGACACATCTTTATTTGTCTTGTGTGATTTTCCTAATCTCCTTTTGCATTTCTAGCCTCCTCGACCAGAAGATCTGTCAATTGTCTGTTTTACTAGTGGCACTACAGGTAAAAGAGGCACTTTAATCTTGAAATCTTAGAATAGCTTATGAAATTAATTATTAATCCCACCTCCATACATGTGAACTTGCTGTTATACTGATATGGAAATGATGTTTCTAGGCATTTATTCTAGGCATTTTTAATATTTAAGAATATATAGGTTCTGTATATATATGCAAATTAAAAAATAATAATAATTTATTTTTCAATTGAATTCTCTGACATACACTTTGCCAGTATGATTTTCCAGTTGTCTGAAAATCCACCTATGTGTCTGCTTCCCGTTTTGCTGTGTAGTTGTGAAGCACTTGGTTGATTGGTATTTATCTCTTGCAAATGTTTTAAAACAAAAAACCCAAAACTCTAAAACGTGGTTCCACAATTTTCCATTCTCTGTATCCTGAGCACATTGATGTCTCCAGCCTCACCAAGGTCCTTGTAACCTCTGTCTCTTCTTCTTGTGTATTGCTCGTGACACCTAGTGCTGGGGAGGTTTGGGATGAGCCTGGGCAGCCCATGGTGGTGGTACTCATGTGCTGCTGGCTTCCTTTTCTTGGAGAGAGGAGCAGCATCATTTTCCTGCCTGTTCTTAGCAGAGGCAGTGAAGATCTTGGTCTTCATCAGCTTGCAGAAATTTCCTACTCATGAGAACTCAGCCTCCGTAACATCTCCCTGAAAGCTGTATGCACAAGACATGACTGCTTGGGAAACTGCTTTTGCACTTGCCTACAGAGAAGGTCCATGCTCCAGAGACTGCTGGAGCAGCTTTTCCAGATCCACCTGTGCTCTTGGGAGAGCACATTTTCCTACACCAAAGCATCCTCAGTTTGGTCTCAGCAGAAGATGCTGGGAGCTGCTGGTGCTTCTCAGATGGTGGGTCAGGCTTGAGCACAAGGGAACACCTTCATCCTTCGCCTCCCAGAAAAGACTTGTGCTTCAGACCAGGTAGGCAACTGCTTTATCAGCTCCAAGTATAAACTAAAGATGTGTTAAAAGGGTTTGGGTATTTTACCTTTGTGCATGGTCCTTAGTTTTGAGATCTGCACTTCAGACTGCCCAGGGCAGAGCACTGAGGGGAAGGAGCCTGTGACTCTGCTTTGTTCCAACACTGGGAATTCCTAAACAGGAAAGACTGAACTCAGTGGTGGACATGAACATCAGCCATGTACAGAGTAAGCACAAAGTGACCAGGAACAAATGGGAGCAGTAGGGATACAGCACGGCACAGTGTGTTTGTGTGGATGTTCAAGTACAGAGCAATTATTGTTTCAAGTCACATTATTGTTGGTATCTTTTATTTCTAAATAAGAAATTCTGCATAGAGAAGGTTTCTTTTGATTTTCTATTTTTTTTTTTTTTAATTGCAGATGCAATCACGGGCCAGTTTCTGATTTTGTGCTTTTCTTAAAAACATGCCCAGAGTTGCAGAAACAGGACAACCAGGAAATTAATTTCCCTTCTCCCATCCAAACCAGAGATTTCCAATTTTGCAAATTACCTTGAACTGAACCCTCTCATAACAATGCTTTGTGATGCATGAGCCATCCTCTGCTGCTGCAGGACTTTGCACATCACTCTCTGCCTTATCTAGAGGTTGCATCAACACTCTGTTCTATTTCCTCACGGTGCTTTGATGTAAGAGTTTTATATAGCCCATGTAATTTTTAGTGACTAAATTTATAATTTTCTTCCAAAGGATATGTTCTCTAGGCCTTTTCCAATTCCAAAAGGCTTTAAATATTTTTGTGTGGTGCGAAAAAATTCTCTGCTGTAGAATTTGTCGCCTGAAAAATTGTAGAATTAGAAAAAATTCCCCAGGAGCAGACTTTAACACTTGCTTTTCTTTGATAGGATCAGATGCCCCAATGCCTCCCCAGGGAGGAAAGGAAGGCTGAGGTTGCTGATCTTGGATGACAAGACCATCTTCCATGGTAGTGCCAAGAAGCCATCAGCACTTGGAAATGGGCCAAAGGCACATAGATATCCCCAAACTGTCAGGATACAATTTTTCATGTTGGCTACTCCAGAGAAATCAACTGTCATTCTCTCAAGGATCCACTGGTAACCAGGTGGAAAAAAATTGCTTCCCAGTGGTTTCTCCCATCCTGGCAGTGCATGTTCCTTTTTGCCAGACCTCCCCAGGGGAGGAAAGTGCTTGTATCCCAGAATGCTGTTGGATACACCATCAAATTAGTGTTGGAGCTCTTGAAAGACCCATTTGGCAATGTGAAAAATGTTTTTCTATTTTTTTAAAGGTTCTACTATTGCTTATAAGAACTGTCAAACAAGCCTGGCACCAAGATAAGGAGGAATTGACATTCCTGGGCTATTAATGGATTGCAAGGTATCCATTCTACAGAATGGACACTCACTGGGTCTGTCTTTGTGAGTAAATTAAACAAGAACAGCGTTACAGAAATGGCATTGATTTTTTAAATAGAAAAGCAGCATCCCTGCCAACCTTCTTCTCTCAAAGTGGTAATTCTGGGAAAAGGCTTATAGAAAGAGGCACCTCTTTTGCTAGGTTAACTCTTAGAACTGCTAAGGAAGGTTAAAGTTTACAGGAGTTCCCCAACCCAAAAAGCTGCAGCTGTCCCATAACAGCTTGGTTTGTTCTGGATTTCTCCTGCTGGAGGCTCTCCTGGCTCCAACACTGCTGCTCTGCTTAGACACCATTATTACTGCAGCCTATCCACTATGTTGAGCCTGTGTGAGAGGGATGCAGAGGAAGGAGTCAGGATGTTAATACTGCTTCCAGGCATGGCAGAGGTACTGAATCTCCATTCAAGTCAGAGGTGGAGTGAGTAAATAAGTCAAACATCTGAGAAATCTCATAGAATCATGGAATAGTTTGGCTTGGAAGAGACCTTTAAAGCATGTCTAGTTCCAATTCCCAGACGCAGCAAGGGACACTTTCACTTAGACTGGTTTGTTCCAAGCCCCATCCAGCCCATCACTGAACACTGGAAATCTCCAGAAAAAGTGCAGGGACTGTGTATGTGCCAGAGGGCACAGTTTTGAATTTCCAAACCATTACTGAGCACATCCTCTCCACTGGTGCCTGAGTTTTGCGATGCTGCAGGAGCACAGCTGCTTCTCTGCAAGGACTGAGCACATGTGTTTGGCTGGACACCACAACACAAGTGATTTTTGAGTTGTGTTGTGTATGTACAACTGACATCTGTTCATGGACTCTTCTTGGACCCTGGATCCATGTGTGCAGCCAGCTGTGAAAATAACCTGCCAGGCTGATTTGATACCTGTGAGCCTGCTAGTTCAACAAGTTACAATGGGAGCAGCTTGGCTGGCAAAGCTGTCAGCTTCACCCCTGAGCTTTGGATGAGACCAAACCAGCCTCCTGTGCACCATGTTCATCTGCAAGTGTTTGGGACTGAATTACTCAAGACACTCGGAACAGCAAATAGGGATTTTCAGTATAATACGTTGTGTTGAAAATATCCTGTTCTATTGCAATAAATGTATGCAACAATTGCAACTGCTGTTTGTGCTTGCCTTTACTTATTTGGGAGGTTGAGTAGTGTGATGGTCATAATGCTGGGAGGGCAAAGGACTCGGTGCTGAATGTGCCCATGCCCACACTGGAGGGCTGCTAGCAATGTAGCCCTCAAACTGTTCTGAAATTAGAGGACTAAACATACTTTCCTGTGCTGAAACATATTCACAGAGCACTTCCTAATCTGAGGAAGGCAGAATGAAATTCTGGCTGATTTACAATTTTGTTACATTAACTGCAGGAGCTTTGCCAGGCTGCTCATGCCCACTGTATGGGGGACACGTGGGGCACCTGCAGGTAAAGCTCCTCTGATCTGCCTTTGCATGAAGCAGCAGAAACTACGTGGCAGTGGCGTGATCGAATTAAAACAATCTGCTTAAAAACATGTTGGAAAGAGGCTGGCCCCGTAATCTTTATTGGAGCTGAGTTACACCTTCTTTTCACAAGTAAAGCCTTGGAGGGTGATGAAAAGGGACAGTACTGTGACAGGAGGACATGCAGAGTCCTCTGTGCCACCTTTTTGTGAACATGAGGGTTTCAGCCTGTGTATTTGCTGCTTAACAAACACTGTGTTTTGGTGTCCAAACCGATATGAAATGCAAGAAGTGTACCATTACCAAAGGAGTGTAAAAAGGCAAATATTGATGGTGCTGAGGTACCTACTGGTGCTAGATGAAATGCTGCAGGGGCAGTGCACCGCTGTGGAACACAACACACAGGGGCTTTGCTGACTCCCTAATGGGTTTAGGGCTGTCTTCAAGGCACCTCTGCTGCTGCTACTATTCACAGCTTCCCTTAACTGCAGTCTCAAAGGGTCTTGTAGCCTAATTTTTACCTGCACTGCTCTCTGCATTTCTCCTGTTATCCAGAGTACTGGCTAAGTAAGAGTATATCAGGCTTTTAAACAGTGTTTCTTGGTATTCAAGATCATTCTTAGTCAAAATCTGGATGAAATAAATCCTTCCAGAATAGGCTGGAACAGCCAGCCAAGTCTGATGGCTGTACTCATTGAGTGGCTCCATCTAAGCTCTCTCAGAAATTGCATTTGGGCTGTTTCTGCTGGAACCTGTTTTCCAGAGTCTCCAAGAGAAATATTTCTGTTTGCAGTATCATGTTATTAAGTTTTGAGTATTGCAGTAAGTGTTTTTGGTGCAAATTAGTGCACAGAAATGATGGTAAAAAATACATATGTTTTAAAATTGAAAATGTGAACATAATGTTTTAACCATTTCTTGGGGTTTTTTTTGTTTGTTTGTTGTTTTTTGTTTTGGTTTGGTTTTTTTTTAAAGTTTTTGAAATTTACCTTCTGGCTTATCTTTTAAACTCCCTCTCTGTTTCCTTTCAGGAAATCCCAAAGGTGCTATGCTGACCCATGGAAACGTGGTGGCAGATTTTTCAGGCTTTTTGAAAGTGACGGAGGTGATTACCCTGAACTAGAAAACATTGCCATGTGCAGAGTGTGTGGGTTAAGCTGTGGCCCTGCACGGGCTGTAAGTACGCTCTTGCAGATAAAAGATGACATTTTTCCTGCTCAGAGGGCCAAATCCATGGGAATGGAGCAAGGCTGAATCTACAGTACTGGAAGGCATTAAATCCTCTTTCCAGCCCTGGCTCCCAGGCTCTGTAGGGCACTAAGGATGTCTAAGAAACAATGCTGACTTCTGTAAATCAATTCATTAACTCTTTTTGAATAATTAGGAGAGCATACAAGCCCTGTAGAATTGCAACTGGTGCTTGAAGAGGAGTTCAAGCTCCTTTTGTGCTCTTTGTGTCCAATTGTGCCCCAAAATGTTGTCATATATTTGAAATCTCTCTGCATACAAAGTGTGTGTGTATAAATACATATACATGTATATATGTGTATATATATATATGAACATATATGATTTTTTACAAGATTGATTAATGGTTAATTTCATTGATATTCCAGTATATCTCAGTTTTTGTTATACAGATTTCTAATAGAGCACAGCATAGTGCTGGCCAAGTGACTTTTTAATATGTTTCATACAACATGTAAATTCATATTTAGAAACAATATAGGAAGCCAAATCAGTTTACCATGACATAGTAAGGATTTTACACATTATGTAGAACAAATATAAATAATCTAACTTCTGGTAGTGAACAGGCAATTCTATAAAGTAGTTACATGCACATGGGATGGACAATTGGTTGCCTCATACTGGTCTTATTGTTGATGCTGAAATTACTGCAGTCTTATTACTTTAATCCTTGAATTTTCTGAGATTTCTGGATCACTGGTGTAAAGAAACTCATACATGTGATGACTCAGACATGTAAGGAATCCCACTGAACTCACATATTCCAATGTTTGCAGGACTGTGCCTCCACAGTGTGCAGGATGAAATGCCAGTGCTGCAATGAGGGCTTCTCAGCATGGAGCTCTCCATGGCTTCAGTGGCAGCAAGAGGGACAAATGAAAGCTGAGGCGTGGAGGGGCCCCAGCTTCAAAGGGCAGGAATGTTTGTTTTGGAAGTGCACTAATTTAGAGCTGAGAGAACTTGGTATCTTCCAGGACTTGTCCATAAAAATGGATTTAGTGTTTGCTGATGGCAGTGGGACCCTGGTTAATTTCAAAGGTATCAGATTGAGACCCAAGTCTGGTGTGATTGTAAATTTGGTATCTCCAGTCACCAGAGTATTGCTGGCAGAGGGTAAATGCCTGTAGCTGATCCACAAGATTTGGGTAATGTCTGACCACAATAATGAAGTAAAGTGTCAAAGACTTGAAAGTAGTATAAATTAAAGAAAAAAATTGGGAAGTTCTTTGGTTCTGTTGTTTGCAAGTTCTTGTGGCAGTTTTGCTTAGTTCAGTGATTTTTTTAAAACTGGACATATTTTTTAGTGAGTCCAGAGCTTTATTAAAATGTTGTTTTCTAATATCAATAAGTTCTTTGTACTTTTAAATTTAACTGGACAACTGTGCCAACTGTGAAATGCTATTCAATGGCATAATTTTAGTCTGATTTAAAACCAGATTATTTTGTCTGAGCCCTTACAGCAATAATAAAAAAAAGAACCCTAGTTGATATTAAAAGTTTTGCATTACTGTGTTTGCAGAAAATGAAGCCAAATTGAAATAATGTATAAATAGATCTGAAGGCCCTAATGGCTTCATTCAGATTGACAGACACAATAATATGAAATGGGATGCTGAGAACACCCACATGGTCAATAATGTTTGACTTTGGTAGGTGATAGTTGGGAGGCCATACCCAAATCTGACCAGCCCAGATTTACCTTCAATAAAATATCCCCTGAGGGATGAACTCCTGTGTCTGCCTCCACTGTATCCCAGATCATGGGCCATTGATTCCTTCTGAGCAGTGAAGGTGCAAGTGGGTATAAACTGTTAATACTGTGAGCTGATAGATTTTTATACCCATTTTCCACTAGCCACTGGCCTTGATGGAAATTATCAGGTATTCAACCTTTCAGTTTTTCTAATCCATAATATTACAGCAAGCTGTACTGTAGGAAATGCGGATAGAAAGGTTATTTTCTTTTGGGGAATGGGTTAGGTAAGGCTCTTGGGGCCTTTGTTTATTGCAGCCTTCAAGAGAGAGTTAAAAACTTTGCAAAATCAAGACTTTGGCCACTGTTTTTTAAAAATAATATGTCCAACCTTCTCTTTCCCCTGTCTGTAAGACAGTCATAATGCCCTTAAAATCATATTTTAATCACTTAAAATTACAAGAAACACTAACAGAAGTAATTAGTTTTTGAAGCCTAAGATTAAATAATTAGTTTTCCACACATTCTGATTCAAATCAATGATTAACCAAAGGAAAAGAAAAAAAATCACTAATTTTGACTCCAGTAACACTGTGATTCTTGAATGGGCTGTATACAAAGCAGGAAAGTGCTGCTCCTGCAGAGCCCTGCTGGTGTCCAGAAGGTTCCTGTAGGTTAGCACTGGGATCCTGGGGGCTCTTGCAGGTTTGCACCAGGATCCTGCTGTCTGTGCACAGCTGAGAGCACAGACCAGGGTCTCAGCACCTCCTGGTAGAAAGCAGTGAATAAAAATTGGATTCTCCGTCAGGGTGAGCCTCCATTCCCAGTGTGAGCTGCGTGGATACAATCTGCCTTCTGCCAAGGAGAGCCCTCTGCATTGCCCTGTGTCTACATCTGCGTGCTCTTTACTCCTCCTGCTAACTGAGCTCCATGATGCTGTGGCTTTAACGCTTCCCTGTGTCCGCTGCTCCCTCCTCTCTTGACAATCTTTACCCTTTTGCTCCTCTGGTGCCATTTTTCTTTTTATTATTTTTTGACTTTCTTGTTGTCTTCCTGTCAGTGTTTCTTTCCTTTCTGTCTCCCATGCCCTTCACCTGCAGAAAGTGATCTTTCCGAGACAGGACGATGTGCTCATCTCCTTCCTGCCTCTGGCTCACATGTTTGAAAGAGTTATACAGGTAAGAAACCTGCCTGAACTGACGAGGCCTTGTGGGGCTCCTTGTGTTTTCTTCCAGAGTCAGTGGTCTCCTACTTGTGAGGATGTACACATTTCCTATTTGCCTTTAGCACACATGTTTGAGAGAATGGTACAGGTAAGGTCATGGTGTCAGTGGAAATTATCTGTTTTCCACACCAACAACAAAAATACAAAATAAAATGAATAAAATACTAAATAACCAGAGATATCTTTTAGCACTAAAAAGGCTTGCACTCCAGAAGTGACATGTGCATAACACCAGAGCCATGGTCTCAGTGACGTGGCTGTGAGTCCAGGAGAGTTTCCCGAGTTCTCCAGCTTACACCTGGCTCAGGGATTGAAAAATAACCCTTCAACAATGAGCCAAACTCATTGTTCATTCAGCTTATTGCTACTGCTACCTCAGCAATTTGTGGGACAGCTTTTCAAAGGACTCTACGATGAGGTGTTTGTGATTCAAGATAGTTTCATGCCATTTTCTACATCAACTAAAATGATTTTATTGCATAAATAACATGATCTGCAAAAAAAGATCCCCAACCTGGCAGACACTGAGAAAGAGGAAACTGAGATCATGGTGTGATACATGTGATCCTCCTGGCAGGGCAGCGTGCAGCGGCCATTCACTGGAGCCTGTGTTCCCTGGGAATTATGGCAGATCCAAGTACTTGCTCTTGCCAGCCCACAGAACTGACTCCATGTCTCTTTGGGGAAAAAAGTAGGGTGATGATTGGTCACTGCAGTTGGTGAATTAGGAAGGGCAGGTGAGACATCAGGTCTCCCAGCAAGAAGCTGCAAACTTAAAGTTGATCCAGTATGTGAAGATTGGATCTGGATCCAGTTGCAGCTCTGCACTTTCTCAGGGAGGCCTGTTTCAGACTGAAGGCATATCTTCTGAGTCAGACAAGCATCTGAACATAAACCTCCCACTTCTTAGTAACATCTGTGCCAGAAGTAATATATTTTTTTCTCTGTTAGAAATGTCACAAATTGGAAGTAAAAGCCCATGAAAGATTTGGAGAATTACAGCACAGCCTTTCTCCACTTGCAAGGCAAGCTGTTCAGTGTGCCAGCACTGTTCAGGCAAACAACAATATACTCAAAATTCATCTGATGGGGGGACAGAAACAAATTAGAAACATTGAAAATGCTTTCATTTCACAGGATTTTGCTGTACTGAAAGGGACAGCTTCCAAAGGATGTCCACATTTATCCTCCCATCTGAAATAGCTTATTAATATAAAGATTTTTTCAAAAGGGCTAAAAAGTATTTTTCAAAAGCATTCTGAACAGCAAGCACTGCATCAGTGACCTAGTTTTAGCCAACATTAATCATTCCTGGAATTTACAGTTAAAATCATACAGATACCTTCTTTAAAGCTAAGATTTTCTAGTTATTTTCAATTCCCAATGAGCACACTGGTTACATTTTCTTTTTTAAATTAATGTGCAGTGTAAAGCACAGATTCAGCAGTGTGATTTTCATTTAACCCATATCACATGTAAAATTCCTGTGGTTTCAGCTGATGGAGACAGTCTCTATCTGCCTGACAGCAGAGAGAGCAATTTGGTTAGTATTGCACATTTTTAAGAGCAGCACAAAAGACATGGATGTCTCTAAAGGAATTTTCAACTTAGTTATCTGGGGAAGACAAGCCCACAAAAGGGAGCTGAAGTTTCTAGTCGACTCAGGAAGGCTCAGCTCTGGCATCACAGCTGCTTGCTGAGGACACTTTCTCCTCCATGCACTGTAAAACTGTGGGAGAAGGGCTGGTCTCCAAATGTTCTTCAGTGATAAATTGCCAGTTTGACGCAGTCTGTGATGGCTTCTTGGTGGGGTTACTGATTACCAGTAACCAGCTACCAGTTGGCTCATGGCCAGCAGCCCCTCTGCCCCATCCCACACATTGAGCTCCATTCTGATCTGAGGAAAACTTCCTGCTTTGTTTTCAAGTACAAGGCTTCTAGATTTGTAGTTTCCATACAAGTCAAGCATCTTTTATGAAGTGGGATTCTATTTCTGGGAAACAGGATCAGGCACTGTATTGCTAATGTAGTTTATATTGTTGTATTTAAACAAAACTAAAGTATTAACATCTAAAAATTGGCCGCTGCTCCATGTTTTATGTTTCTTACTTTGCATTTCTGTATTGACGATAGGTCCTCATGCTGTGAGCTGCTATGGAAGGGCTGGGCATTAGAAATGTTCCAATCCAGACTCTGACCATAACTGGGACTTCTCCATCCCCATATGCTGGGGATGAAGAGAAATCCCTTCTGAAAACATTGATTCCTTGTTCTTCCAGAACAAGTGTCAAATTTGGTAAATGCTGAATTGCCAGTACTGAAAAATGCCCAGAACTCTCTGGATATTTCTATTCAGTGCAAAATTGTTACTTATTGTTACTCTGTTGTTACTTTATGGTCTTTCCAAAGTCCTATTTTTGCAGTATTGGAGAGTAGAAATTCAGAAAAGGTGCTTCTGTGCTTGGGAGGAATGTTTTGCTTTGGGAATTGAAAGCAAAGGGGTTACATGTGTTCCTCTTTCTCCCCATCAGTCTGTAGTATACTGCCACGGAGGGCGAATTGGCTTCTTCCAAGGAGATATTCGCCTCCTGTCTGATGACATGAAGGCACTGCGGCCAACCATCTTCCCCGTCGTGCCACGGCTGTTAAACAGAATGTATGACAAGGTGAGTTGGATTTTGATTTTACTCTTTTTGGAACAATGGAGTTTACGTCCCTTTAGTACTCATGTGGAAGAATTCCCTTAGTCATGGATATTTCTCAAGCAGATGACACTATTTCTGCCTTGCTCCAGACACATTCTTACCTTGCATAATGGATACAGCTCCTTCATTATATAAGTCTGTATTAAAATTTACACAGACTCCAGACACAGCTATCATGTGTGAATATGAAATCCCTCTGTATTAGCCTCCTACCCTTACTTACTCCCCTCTTACTGTTCTCATTAAGCTTACCAGTGACATTTCTAGAGATACGGGATTTTTTCATTACAGAAACATCAGTCAAACCTGGCTGCACAAGAAACTTTTGTGCCCTTCAACAGGATTTGAAACTCAAATCTCTTGTTCTGGTGGCAGCAACAGCTGTAAATCAGAAATTTCAAAAAGCCTTTGAGGACTTAGGTAGTGTAAATGTAACAGTAGCTTTTGGATTTAGAAATCTTTAAAACTAAGGTCAAGGTATTTAAGACAGGCATGTCTGGTCATCGTGTTAAATCTGTTTGACCAGCTGGGAATATTTATTCCTCAGAAGACTTAACTGCTAAAGACAAGCTTAAGCACAAGCTACTGATTTAATTTTTCCCCAAGGTCAGTGCTTCTGTGCTTTATTAGGGGGACAGGCAATGGGAGTTTCTCATTTGTTGAGGAGGAGTTTGTGCTGGTGCCTGATGAAGCTCAGTTAAATTTAGCCCCCATCACCACATCAGCCACCACTGATACCTGTTCATGTTGCTCATTCCCTGTTGCTCAGGCTGTGTGAACTTCACTGAACCCTATCACAGAAATTATATAGTAAGAGCAGCCCTGTCAATCTAGTCAAAGCCTGCACCACCATCCTGTCTTTTCCACCCAAAGGAACCACATGTACAAGAGGGAATGGAGTGAAACACATCATTCCTTTTTCCCCCACTAACAAACCTCAGTGTAGCCTTGTTTACCTGTGCTGCAAATGTAACTGTACCCACCTGGCTGGGTGGGTGTCGTGGGAAGAACAGATGTTGGTGTGCTCTCTCTTCTCTGTGACACCTCATGTGCCATCCCGTGCTCCCGCAGATCTTCAGCCAGGCTGACACATCCCTCAAGCGCTGGATCCTGGAATTTGCGGTCAGACGGAAAAAGGCTGAAGTTCGAAACGGCATCATTAGAAATGACAGTTTGTGGGATAAACTTTTCTTTAACAAAATACAAGTAAGTGATTTGAGAAGTGAGTCTGAAGTCAAAGGACTCTTTTCTTCTAGCAATGACTGGTTTTCTGACAAGGGAGTTTCAGACTCCCTTGGAGTATGAGGAGGAATGTAGGAGGAATTTCTTCATGGATAGGGTTGTCAAGCATTGGAACAGGCTGCCCAGGGCAGTGATGGAGTTACCACCCCTGAAAGTGTTAAAAAAGGGTGTGGATGTTGCACTTGAGGACATGGTTTAGTGGTGAAGATGGTGTTTGTGCTGGGTTGGTGGTGGGAGTTGATGATCTTAGAGGTCTTTTCCAGCCTTAACAATTCTATGATTCTATGATTCCTTAAAGTCAGTGTAGTCCACTTGCTTGATGATGAACTGTGGTCGATCACTACTCAGTAGTGAACAACAGACTGGAAAATGGAATAGAAAAAGGGAACTGAGCACAATTTGTTGCTCCATAAAGTCTTGTCATATTTATTATTTTGTTTGGTTTTCAAACACCATGGGTATTGTCAAAATTTCAATTATCTCAGGGATAACTTTCCAGAGGGAAATGGAGAAACACAGGGTGGGCTAAGAGGGCCATATCCCTCTTCAGCAGCACCGAGAAATCACTGATTTATGGAATAGTGCCAAAAATTTTTTTTGGCTTGCAGACAGAACTATGCCCCTGCAGGGGAGAAAAGGTATCTGGGGACAAAATTCAGAAAAGTGGTCATGAAAAAAGGAGTCACTGATCAAAGAGATGCTGCTCCAAAGTTTTCTGCAAAATCTCAACAAATAGGATTGGATTTAGGATTGGGTTTCAATTGGACATATTCAAACGCACTTTTCCTCCTAGGAAGAGAATAAGTTTGTAAAGAAAATTGCACAAATGAATCATGGTTTAGCAACCATGAGGAAAGAAATCAGAATGCTCTTCTGTTTGCCACACATCTCAGTAAAAAAATATATTAAACTGGCTTTAAACCAGCCTTTTTGGGCTCTGTACTACTCCAGGAGGCTCTGATTTATTTTTGTTTGATCAGATTATTTATCTGCAGACATACCATTTTATTTTTAACTAAAGAAATTGACTGTACTTGTGGTCTGTGCTCAGTATGCAATGACAGCAGAGTTCACCCAGCCGGGAGCAAGCCAGGCTGTTGAGACAGGCAGACTCAGACAGCATTTGTTTTATTTTGTGCTGGGTTTTCTTTTTGACTTTTAGAATAAAGAAAAGGAAATGAAGGGAGAGCGGAAAGAAGTAAAATGAGACACAGGAATTGATGTAATACCCTCCAGAAATATTTGAAGGTCATCTGCCTTAAAAAAGGGACAACATTATTTTAGAGGGCTTGGGAGGCAATTCATTAAAACCGATGAGGTGTAAATAAGCAAAAAAGACTGGATGGGGGAAGAGTCTGTTTTTCTCAGCAGTTCCCAGAGCCAGGTCTGCAGCCTGCCCAGGCACAGCAGTTGCAGAAGCCCAGGCTGAGCAGCTTATCCTGCCAGGGACATGGGTACTCCTGTCTCTGTACACTAAATGGGGTTTTATCCCTCAGGAAAGCTTCAGAGCTAGTTTGTATTTCCATACATGGCCACATCACAGAACCACAGAATGGCTGGGTTTGAAAAGTCCTTGAAGATCATCTAATTCTGATCCCTTGCCATGGGCAGGAAATCCTGCACACCTATACTAGAGAACACATTTTGTTCAAGCTCGTGGTTTTGCCATCTGCAGTAGCCTCTGATGCTTTCTTCTGTTTCCTCCTGCTACCAAACAGGCAAGTCTTGGGGGGTGTGTCCGCATGATAGTGACAGGAGCTGCCCCTGCATCCCCAACTGTCCTGGGCTTCCTCCGCGCAGCCCTCGGATGCCAGGTGGGTTTGTGTGGCTGTTCAGGGATGTTTATCAACTGTTAGCAAGAAAACACGGTATTTAAGAAAGGTGATGGGTTAGACCCTCAGAACTACATTTGGGACAGCTGTACCAGGATGGATCCATCAGCAGGGCTTAGGGCAGCCACAGAGTCCTGGTACACCCAGAGCTCAGTGGGGTGGGAGCAGCCCTGGGATGGCAGTAACAGGCAAGAGATATTTTCACCCTGGGCATTTCCCAGAAAAACCCTGCAGGCTCATCCCACCCACCTCTCAGCACCAAATCGAGTATGTGCAATTAAATGTGTTTGTGCAAGTGCTGGGAACTTCATGAGTTTTACTTGTAAATGGAGAGAGCTAATCTTCAGATGTCAGCCTAACCCACTTGAGATACCCACTGTGTTAATTCTCTGTGACAGGAAGCCCAGGGCAACTGAAAGGGCTGGATTTTCAAAATGTCTCACAAAACTACCTATTTTTCCCCATTAATAAGTTCCTGTCATAGTGTAGCATATGTCCTGACTCAAAGGCTAAGTGCTCAACTCATCTTCTTCCTGTTTTCAAGGTTACAGGGCCATGTTTTTTCCTAGTTTTGTAAATGTAATTTTGTACACAGTACAAGCCAGGGACAGTGTCCCCATGGCAAATGGGCACCCACACATTGCAGCTGCAGGCTCAGCTCACAGGACTGTGAAACAGAGGGCAATGCTTGGGATTTCAGTTTGTAATAGAGAAATCTTTTATGATCTTTTGAAGATACCTATCTCTTTGTCAGGTTTATGAAGGCTATGGCCAAACAGAATGCACAGCTGGATGCACCTTTACAACTCCAGGTGACTGGACATCAGGTAATTATTTTCTTCCACCATTTGAAGATATAAAAGAAATGCACATTTGATTAGAAAATTATGGACTGTAACATCAAGGCCACATTGAATGGGGCTTGGAGAAATCTGGTCTAGTGGAAGGTGTTCCTGCCCATGGCAGGGGGTTGGACTGAGATGGGTTTTAAGGTCCCTTCCAACCCAAACCACTCCATGCTATTTCAGAATAGGTTTTATATCCAAAGAGGAGGTGTCGGTATTTAGTTTTAATAGTGCAAAACCTTAATTAAGGAAATTATTTCCTCACAGAAATAATCTTGCTCCTGCAAGAACATCCAGTGTATCTATAATTGTGCAAGTAACTAATGATAAAATGTTAATTATAATTTATAGAAGAGATGACAAATTACTTGATAACTTTGATTTCCAGGTCATGTAGGAGCCCCTTTGCCCTGTAACTTAATCAGATTGAAGGATGTGGAAGAACTGAATTATTTTGCTTCCAAAGGAGAAGGAGAGGTAGAAAATCACATTTTTATATCAAATTCTCACTAGTTAACACTGTATGAAATAGTTTATAGGAGCATTTTACCTTTGTAGGGTTCATGGTTGCTGATGTGTTACACAGTGCAATCAGGAAAGGAAAATGGCAGTTTAACTATAGAGCAGCAAAGAATTAATGAAAAAGGAGCTGTGGCAGTACTTCCAGCCTGATTCCTTGAACTGCTATGACTGAATTAATTCAGTTAAGAAGAGCTGAATTTCTGTGATTTCTACATTGCTGTGATTTCTACATTACTGTGATTTCTATACTACACAAAAATTAAACTTATTGAACATTTATCTGCAAATGGAATGCAAATCAATGTGAAACAAATCAGTTTTTCAAACCCTACTTCATATTTCCGTTAGCTTGAAAAAAATACATAGATAGTTTAATAACCCAATCTATTTTAGTTTCATGGAGCACAGTCATTAAAATATTTCAAATTTTGTGAGTTACTATTTAACTTGTATTTATAGCAGAATAAAAAAATAATTCCTCATCACCCCTGTTTTTTTTGCAGATCTGTGTGAAAGGACCCAATGTGTTTAAAGGTTACTTGAAAGATGAAGAGAGAACAGCTGAGGCGCTCGACCAGGAGGGCTGGCTTCACACAGGAGACATTGGAAAATGGTTACCTGTGCGTACTGGACACACACAGAATTCTAATGGGAATTGTATTATGTCATGTAAATTTTCACAGACTGGACTTAGGTCTCCAAGCAGGTCTGTCTTTACAAAGGGTTAAGTTTATATTTGGCAGAATAAGCTCAATATGTCAGTGAAGCATTTGACAGCACAACAGGACACTGAGAGCTCTCTTAAAGACAGACTGCTTGCTGAGTTTCTGTGGTTAAATAACGACTCTGGGAATTCTCATTTCTTTCTCCTAACAGAATGGTACCCTTAAAATTATTGATCGGAAAAAGCATATATTTAAACTTGCTCAGGGAGAATATATTGCACCGGAGAAGATAGAGAATATCTACATCCGCAGTGACCCTGTTGCTCAGATCTATGTCCATGGAGACAGCCTGCAGGTACAAACCAAGCTTTCAGAAAATCTTACTTTACTCTTAGTAGTTAGAAGACAGAGAGCTGGGCATGGACAAAGGGAAAATGTGAGTGGATCACACCGCATTGTCTCCTTCCTGCTTTGGAGCTGGCTGACAGCCAGGCAAGAGCTGAGCTGCTGGTGTGACCCTGACCAACTTAGAGAATGCTGTGGGCAAAGAGCCTTTAAGTTGGCTTTGGTGTCACTCTTTGGGTCTCTCCAATGCCTGGTAAACCAGGCAAAGGCAAAGCCACTCCTGTCCCCCACACTGCCTGGCTATTCTGAACAATCTTGTTCTGTTAATTTGCACATTTATACACACACAGATTTTGAAACAATGGCAATTCATCCTCTGCATTCAAGGCTCACAAGCATGAGCCTTCCCTTGGCATCAGAGCTTGCCTGGGACTTGCAGGGCCATGTGAGTTATTTAATGTCCAAGAGGAGCACAAACCCAACTGAGGGTATTAAAACTGCTGGTGAATGCACAGTCACAGACAAACATTTATTTGAGAAAATGGCACAGACATCAGAATGTACTTCATGATGGTATGTTAGCAAATTGTTGACATAACTAAAGAAGTGGTAAACATGCAGAAATTCACCTGTCTTGTGTATTCACTTAAATGTAGAGCCTGGAATGTGGTTCAGCTTTTACCTTTAACTCCTTCTCCTTTACCTACAGGCCTTCCTGGTGGGAATTGTGGTACCTGATTCTGAAGTTATGCCAGGTTGGGCAAAGAAAAGAGGGTTTGAAGGAACATATGCAGAACTCTGTAAAAATAAGGTTTGTGTCTGCAGTAAAGACTTTTTTTTTTTGCTGTAGTATTATGTGTGCACAATACTGTGTCTAGGAATGACAGTTTCAGTGACAAGAATTATTTCCCCACTGAACATTCAGCAGAGTTGACCTGGATCTAGTGATATGTGTTGACTGGTGGCACAGACCTCTGCCCTGCAGCGTGGGAGGGCCAAGAGTCTGTCTTACAGAGAACAACAGTACAGCAGGAGAGATTGTGTTTGCTTCAATTTCTTAATAAGACAACTAAATAAGACTTTATCACTGTTGTTCTCTGTGGTGACCAGGAACAGGACCAGAGGGAAGGGCCTGAAGTTGTGTCAGAGGAGGTTTAGGTTGGATACTGGGAAAAGGTTTTCCCCAGACATGTTGCCTGGACATTGGAACAGGCTCCCAAGGGGACTTATCACACCATCAAGTCTGACAGAGCTCAAGGAGCATTTGGACAACACTCAGGCACATGTTATGATTCATGGGGCTTGTGGTGGGTTTAGTGACGGTTAAAATCATTACTGTATGTATTTATTTTTTGTTATGAGATCTGGATTAGGATAAAACAGGGTAAAATAAGCTTAAAACTTAAAATGTATAAGGAAAACTTTATTAATAGGACTAAAAGAATAAGAAGCATTAGAGTAAAACTTTTAGAATTTCTTTCCTCCCCTTGTCATTTTTTTTTTTCAACTGACAATAAAACTTGGGATTTTAAATCAGTTACCTACTTTACAATAATTTTTTATTAGTTTTTGTAGGGAGAGGAGCTTTTTATTGCCATGCCATGGAGACTTTTCTAGAAGAAAGAGTTTTCTCATGTTTTTTTTTATTTTTACAAATGGCAGCTGTCTGGGAAGAGATTTGCAGTTGTGAAACTCTTCTTATTTTCAGAGCCTTCCTACAGCTGCATTTATGGGCTTTGTTAAATTATGCAGTATTATTTTAAGGAGGAGCTGTTTAAAAGCAAAGATTTTTTAATTTATTTTTGTGATTATTTTTATTTCTGGGAACAGGGGTCTTCTTCTCTCCCTACAGGTAAAGGGTCTTTATTACTTTTTCTTTTTTTTGTTCAAGCTTTTCATGGGATCACAGTCTTTTTAGCACTTATTTTGCTGTATCATGGATACTTCTTCTCACTTCTACAGTTTGGACACCTTATCTTTTTATACTTTTTTATGAATGGAAGGGGCTATTTTAGTGTATTATTGTTTATTGCTATGGCCCTACCAATAGAACTTTCAGCTTTATTAGGGCATCTCATTTTTTTTTTATCTGAGGCTTCACCTTTTTTTTGTATTGACTTCGGTGTTTTTATATTGTTTTTCTACATGTCATCACTCTTTTTCTCTCCCTTGAGAGAGGATTAAGGTCTGCAGGCCCCATCTGTGTAGTAAAAGGGCTAATATCTTGCCCAGAGATATTGTGGGTCCATTCCAGCTCAGGAGATTCTATGATTCTGTAAAAAGGACTCTAATCTTAAACACATGCTTTCTAATACTGAGGAACTGCATTGTATCACATCATGGAATACTGATGCCACTTGAACCATCCCACTGGTGTCTGTGGGCAGTGATTCTGCATTGAAGTCTGGCAGATAGCTGAAGGACTGTAAATCTAACTTCTATGTCACATAGCTGGTTTGAAAATAGAACCTTGCTTTTCATACCAAGGAGACACTCTACATCACCACACTTAAGTGTAATGTTTATACACTACAATAGAATTTTGCTAATTATATATTAACTGTTAGTAAGGCACTTGAACTTTACTCAGAAACACTTTTTTGGTGTTAACAGTGAGCATTAATTGCATGTAAAGTAGACTATGGTAGCTCATGAGGAATTTCTGTGTTTTAACGCAGGAACTGCAGCGAGCGATAATGGAAGACATGGTACGGTTAGGGAAGGAGAGTGGGCTTCACTCCTTTGAGCAGGTAAAATGAAATACACCATTCAGTGTGGTCAGACAGGCAATTTGTACAGAAGAGGGATTTGTCAGCATTTATGATGTTACTACAAATCTTTGTTGCAGCTGTACATGATAATTTTGGAAAGAGCTTTATTGCTGGCAAGTTGTATTTATTGCTTTGGAAAAATGTATTTGCTGTGATTCTGCTTGCTACCCATGTTTGAAATTTGAATTAAATTTAGTGAAAGTTTAGGGTGCAGAGGTCAAAATATAAATCAGGGACATGGATAATCTCCAGACTGACAAGCAGAGGTCAAGATAAACATCTGTAGGAGTCTGACTTTCCTGCCACTGAAAGCTCTGTTAGAAATTGGGTCACTAATTACTATGCTTATACCTGACCTTGAAATACTGCTGGTTTCTTTCTTTTCAGTCTGGGCACTAGTTCTTTCCTGCTTGTGTAAATATTTCTGCAATAGAGCTACAAACACTTCAGAAGGGGAGATCTGAAATCAACCATGAATTACATTGCATTAAAAACACAGAAAAAGTATCCACCCCATTTTAAAATGTCAAATGCTTATTTCTGATTAAAAAAGTGAACATCTTAATCATTACATATAATTAGCCAGGGCCTTTTTGCTTTTGTTTAGACTGTTTCTGGGTGATAATTCTAATGAGTAGTTCACCATATTGGAGGGGAGCAGAAGCATCATTAAACATAACCCTGTTATTCTTAATTTCTCAGTTACCTATGCAAATGAAATTATAGCAAAAATAAATTTATTTTAAAATAATTCAGTATAAAGCATAGTTTTTAATGCACATAATTGTCTGTGCTAGTAAGTCTTTTTTGCCTCTGTCATGCTCTTCACAATATGAAATAGCCTCAAGTAATTGATTCCACCAGCAGTTTTCAATTAATCAAGTGTAAAGTAGTGAGGAAAGCCTTCATCTTTCTAAAGTCATCTTTCTAAAAATTGGAAGAAAATAATAATAGAATAAAAAAATAAATTATACAGTTTTCAAAATTAAAGGGCTTCAGAACTCCATCTCTGTTGCAATATGTAATCTGAAAACCAGATACTTTGAGCCAGATACAGTGGCTAATGTTCTGGTGGGATGGGATCCCCTGTTTATGGGGATACTCTTTATCATCCTCTGCAGCGTGGGTCTCTGTCTTGGGAATGACAAGTGTGGCTTCTATAACCATCAGCTTCCAGGATCTGAAAGCTAGTGCAGCAAATGTGGGAGCATTAATAGTGCAAACACTGATTTATGAAGGATTGTATGGGGGCAGGGCCTGGACCACAATGCTTGCAGGGAAAGATGACTCACATATTTAAGGAATAGAAAATGGATTTGCAGCCTGTATCGCTGCAACTGCCAGCCAAACAAACTGCAAAGCAATCTGGCTTGGGGAATCACAAAAGTAGCAGATGGCTGGGAGTTTTGTCTTAAATCAGTGGACTCTGACCAGTCACACAGCAGTTTTCTACTTTCTCCCACACCAGCCTGGGAAGGAAGAGCTCACTCCCATCTGTGCTGCCAAGCTCCCCACTGTGCTCAGAGCCACTGTCTCAAACAAGGGCAGCCTTGTGAAATGCCGCTTGCACAGGCTAAAAGATTTGTATCACTTTTAATTAGCTAAAGAATATCATAATGTGCACGCTTTGTGCCTGCAAACCTTGATAATTTTGCAAGATTAAATCAGTGCTGTTTACTTTTGCAGTGGAGTTGAAGTTTCCTAGCACAACTCCCTGCCTTTGCCCTCTCCCCCACTGCCTTTCAGCTGTGTGAAACTGCAGTGACGATATCACACTGTCTCTTGTGTGATGCCTTGCTGTGCTCTGGCCTTGCTTTCATACAGAAAATTATGTGCTCATTCTCTTGGAGAGCTCCCTTCTGTGGGCAGGGGATGGAAATCCTGGGGACTCAGCAGAAAAGTGCCCTGGACTTGAGGCACCACCGGAGGGAAGCACAGCAAAAAAATGAATGTTTATTCAGTGTGATGCCTGTAACCTTTGCCATAAATATATTCCTCTTTTATTTTAGGTCAAAGCCATTTATATTCACTCTGATATGTTCTCAGTGCAAAACGGTTTGTTGACACCAACATTAAAGGCTAAGAGACCAGAACTGAGAGATTACTTCAAAAAACAAATAGAAGAGCTATATTCAAGCATCTCCATCTGAAATCACAGGAAGAATCTTCTGAATAATAGACTTCATAGCAATATTAGAATAATACTCAAAAAGTACAGAGCCAGAACAACACTGCTGAAATGGATACTGAATCTTACATTACAAATGCATCTGAATCTTACATTTGAGCCTTTCATTTTTCTAGTATTTCATCACTAACCATATTTTCCCTTCTTTCTGCCATCAGGTGTGATACAATTTCTTTTTTACTCTAGATACACAGTAAGGCACTACTAAAAGTTATGCTAAATTGCCAGAAAATATGCAGAAATTTCAATTTATGGCCAAGTAAACTACAGAAGCTTATCTTATAAATAACTACAAACATTTCTAATTAAAATAGGGAAAATTTCAGGTATGTCTGTTGATACTTGATTGTATATAACCTAATATATTAGAAACTAAAATAATAAATAATTCAATAATGTGGTCTAACTCAAATAATCAGTGATTGATGGTGAAAGTAAAAGTCTGTTTTCTCTGATTTGGAACTTCAAGCTGGATATTGGTTTATATATTAAGTGATAGTTTTTATATTTTTCAAGACGTAAATTACATTGATTTGATTTAATCATTGATGACTTAACAACCAGAACAAAAATAGGAAGGAATTTCACACTATGTGTACTTAATAGACCTATTAGTATATTGCATTTAATGGATTAATGTTACCTTGAAATTACAAGAACAAGGTAGGAAGCAATAGTACAGTTTTCCCTCTATTTTCATCCAAACACAGTTTATTCATGGTATGCAGATTCAGCATTAGGGCTTCTTCAGTCCAGTGCACTCACAAACATCTAAACTGCTCAAACTGAGAAGGTTGCAAAAGCATCCCTGGCTCTGTGGTGGCTTTAGGTGGGAATTCACGATAATCCATATGCTCCCAGTCCCTAATTTATTACTTCACGTGCTGCTAATACTGCGCATTCCAGCTGGACTAACTCCCTTTCAGAAACAGCACTAAAGAAATGGAGCACAAGGAATAAGCTGTGATTCTGGATGGGGCTTAGCAAAATGAAAAGGTTTGGGAAAAGGCCGGCCTGAGATGCAGCACTGGAGGGCATCCTTTGTCTGGCCATGGAAGGGGAAGGAATACTGCCCCAAAAGACTCACGGGGATGGGCTAAAGGCTGTGTTAGCCATAGCTGTGCAAGGTGTCAACTGTATGGCAGAACAGTAGATGTGGTGGCAGAAAGGGGTGTTATTTATGAGAACATCTTTATGGTCAGACATCTGGAAGCATCAAGTCCCACTGGCATTGCTTCAATGGCCTCTCTGGAATAACCAGCAAGTTGTCTGGATAAAACCTTAGATTTCAGTGGTTGTCAGAAAGGGGTAAGTCTCACAAGGAGCAGGAACAGACTCTAGAGCTCTCTCTTGGTACAAAGCACGGTGCAAGGCAAAGAGGAAACTGTCATGTCAAGTTGCTTGAATACTTGGACTGTTGATGGCTTCTTTCTGCTAAACAGGGTCCTAAATATCTGTATATTTTACTAGCTGATGTTTGTTGCACCAGTGCATACTAGCATGGAGGTGTGCCTGCTAGATCTTTGCTAGGACAGTGGATGCACACTTATTCTCTCTTTTATAGTGGAATCCACTGTAGACTTCTGAAGCTAAAAGTTTAAATTTTTAATTTAAACAGTATCTTATTTTCTCTCTGAAGTGCTGTTGCATGCTTCTAAATGAAATTGAATTAAGTTAGTGAATTGAGTTAGTGTTATATGAAGACTGATTTATTGCAGTGATTTCAGAATAAAAAGATACATAGGAAACTGTATCAGTAACATATTGATTCGAACAATGTGGCAGTTTGATTTATCAAATGTGTGTTTGATCCCTTTATGCACCTGAATCACTTTATGTACCTGATTCCTCCTTTGATTTCAGTGCAACGACTCATATCAGTCCAAAGCAAGTAAAGAAATATCTGAGATTTGTTGGGATCATAATTTTTCACCAATGTATGCAGCAATAGCATTCCTGGGGAATTTGTGTGCGCCACATTAATGGAGTTTAGAGATTACTGCATAAAATCTGGTTCTTTAGGTCAAGTCATAAAGGATTTTTATCTCAGTGGAGTTCAGTTCATATCCTTTTTGTATCAGCCAAAAGACAGTCATTACATGCACAACCTTCAGAGCAATGGAGAATTAAATTCAGTACAATTTCCTGTTTGTTTTAATGCAACAGTTTTAAATAAAAAAACCCAAACCCTAGTCATCTAAGTAAATAGAGAAAAGATATTTTTCACTGATATTTTTTTGCAATTTGAATTTAATTTACTTTTCTTTTAAGATGATTTCAGGCTTTTTGAGACAACTAAACTCTGTGTAAGTATAGAAGATCCCAATATTAGTTTATTTACAGCTTAGATGGCTGTTATTTTTACATATATGATGCTGAATAATATTCTTCTTTTGGTATTTGATGCAGAATGTCAGATGCACTAGAACCAAATATATGAACACCAAAAGAATAAGAAAGAAAAAAATGCATATCTGGCCACACTTGGATGATGCAAAATCTGAGTTAGTTTTTGTCACACCAAAACTGTGAATGCTTTCAGAACTTGTGAAAAATTATATAAATAAACTAAAAGCTCTCTTTTATACTTGTATAATCAGATTTTCCTCTGCAGGTCATTCTCTTACCACAGTAATAACGATGTTGTAAGAAATTAACATTTGAAAAAGAGACATGCATAAGGCATGAACTAGGCTCAATCCTGCTTCTCTTCAAATTCCAGGAATATTTATTTTGTATTGAGCTTTCTTAAAATGAAACACTTCTTGTGACCACCAAGATAAAATCCCCAGGGCTGTCCAATAACCAGGTTTTTTTTTTTGTTTGTTTGTTTTTTACCTTAAGATAACTAATTACAAAATTAGTTTCAATTATTCATCTTAAAGAGTGGCAGTTCTTTTTGCAGTCAGTTTTACAGTTGCGGTACTACATTCTTGGACACATTAAACAAGGGAGGTTCTTCCTGGGCCTGATGCTATGCCTGTGGAATCACTGGAATAATCTCTTATATATAAAAAAAACCACATAAAATACATTTTTCAGGAAGAGACTTGCTTAGTTATATATTTTATATGTTCTTTGCTTGATATATTGCACAAAGAAAAATCTGCTCTGCCAGAATGCACAAAATGTGAGCAGAAAACAGACCAGAGTCTTTAACCCCATATGGGCAGAAATTACATGGAATACTTCTGTCCTGAAAGGCACATTTGCAGGTTAAAATGTTTGATGCACATCAGATGGGACAGAGATGGTAAGTTTTTTTGATAAAGTACCATTTTGCAATCTGCCCTCACTGTTAGTCAGTATCCTATCAGCAACACTAAAGTCCAGTCTTGTTTTTGCCATGAATATAAAATTCTCATGTGCAACAAAATAATCTGACCTTAACCTCTGGAATGAAAAAATTAAGTTACTTTTTTTTTTTTTTGGTTTTGTTTTACATGTGTTAAAAGCACAAACTGCTGATCTATATGTAAATAAATGCTACAAGATGAAAGTAAAATGGGAAAGAATATACTATTTTTGCATGGTAATAGGTTACTTAAAGACCTCTCGATGCCTTAGAAAGAAATTGAAAAAGCATTTTAATTAGAGGCAATTCTATTGGCATACTTTTTGTATCTTTAGGTCACTTTGGTTTTCACTGGGAAAAAAATCAGAATTAAATAATTTTTTCTTCTTTGAATGTTCTTCAGTATTTTGCACATTTGGTGGTTTCTATACCACTTCTGCACCCGTGAAACGATGAAGCTTTTCAGAGAAGTCTGGATACCTGTAGCCCAGAAGTGAAAAAGTTTTAGATCCCTCAAATTCTTCCAAAGAAAAATGTTTTCTGAGGCATCTGGAGCCCCTTTAAGCCCTTAATTTCAGGTTTTTGTTATGTATTTTAGCAATGTAAAAGCAGCCAACAAATGAGGCATTTTGGTAAGTGTTGCCTATTGTATTTTCAACTGAAAGTGAAGGGAGGTAAAATTTAACATACACATTTGTGTAAAAAAAATCCTAACTTAATAAATTTTTTCGGTTTTGGTATATTAGCATGTATAGCAAAAAGTCATCTATGGAAATTTTTGTAAAGAACTAAATTCTCACCTTTCTCAAAACTGCTCATAAGATTTTCTTGTGGACTGACATACAATAAAAGCTCTTTTATAAAATCTGTTGTTCCTCCAGCACTTTCTCCTCACCATCGGTATGAAGTCATTCGGAATTCATATGTGTGCCTAAACTAAACGTATTGTAAAAATAAGAAATTATGTAAAATAAAGTAACAACCAAAATCATATTGAGACATGAGATTCATTTTAGCAATCTCCTATGAAAACAAACTATTGCTAAGTTCTCTGAAGATGCAAAGTCTTTCTGTAATGGTTTCATTTTTTAAATTTTAAATCAATAATCATATAACCAAATGTATATGCTTGTTAATTATGAATTGACAATTGGGAATGCATAGTATTTTTTTCAGACTGTGTCTAAACCAATAAAGTTTCAAAGCATTCGGGCTCTATTCCGGTTTTTGTGTGCACTTGTGTCTCCCTTCCCTCCGGTATCCAGAAACGCCTGGAAGTGCCCAAAGCCAGCTTGGATGAGGCTTGGAACAGCCTGGTGTAGCAGAAGGCGTCCTTGCCCATGGCAGGGGGTTGGAACAGCACTGTATTTGGGGTCCCTTTAACCCAAATCATTCTATGATTCTATATGCTCTATTTTTTCAGGTAACGAAGCAACGATATTCTTCCTCTCTTACAAACTGAAGCTGAAACACGGGGCCGGATCAGTACAGGGATTATCACACACAAGATTTATTTACTCCATTTTCATACACGAGTTTTTTTCCATGTCATAGGTTGCCCTGGGAGTGTTCCAGGCCGGGTCGGAACGAGTCACGAACGCAGCACGTCCGGTGCAGGTGTCCCTGCCCACAGCCGGTCCCTCATGGGGGCCGGGCCCTCACACCGGGGCGCGTGCGGCCGCCCCGCGCATGCGGGCTGGGGACGCGGGGGCGGTGCGGCCTGAGGGGCCGCGGCCGGGGGTGGCTGCGGGGGCTCGGGTTGCTATGGAGCGGGACCGCAGGGTCCGCGCCCCCCGCCCCGGGAAAGCGCCGTGGAAGAAGCGCCGCGCCTCCCCTCTGCCGGGGGCGGCCGCTCTCCCGGGCAGCCGCGCCGATGTCTCCCAGATGTGCCGGCGGCGCCTGTTCGGGAGCGCGGGGCCTCGCGGGCCCGAGCCTGCCTGTAAGCGCCTCTCCCGGGTGGCGTTGGGGCTCGGGGTGCAGGAGGCTGGGCCGGTACCGACGGGAAAGCGTGGGCGAAAGAGGACCCTGCGCTGTGCTTTGTCCGGTGTGCTCTCGTGGGGCAAGATGTTGGGCAGGGTAATCCGGCCAAGATTTTTACCGATAGCGTCCTCGGTGTCCCCAAAAAGGTTTGTTCCTCACGCATGTGCCCAGCGCAGCGGGTCCTGTGTGAGGTTGGGAAGTGGTTTCTTCTTGTCCATGTCTCTCACCACTTGTAGAAAGCAAACTGCTGTTCTGAAAACAGGAGTGTTACTTGTGTTTTAGCTGCTAGTTAGCAATAGGTAAGATTTTTCCTTTTGTAAAGTGCCTCCCCTCTATTTAATCGAGTTGGAAGGGAGCACTGAGAAATGTCACGACAAAAGCCTTGCTTACCTTTGAGAGAATATTTTAAGAATTGCTTAAAGTAGTTACTCAAAAGGAGCTGCCTCGTTGAACGCATTGCAGCAGATACCAAGCTAAGAATTTTGAGACCTGTTAAGAAAAAAATGGCAGTTCAAGGGAAGGGATAGGAATCAAGTGAAGGCTAACAGAGTATGGGGAAGACCAGCGTGGGATGTCTTGATCTTGGGCTGATATTGGTAATTTAAAAGTAAAGTTTTCATGTTAGAGCGTACAGCGAACATTGTTACTGCATTGTTCCTGCTCTGCTGGCTCCTGCTCTTGTATGTATTTAGTGCTCTTGTGCACAGGACTGAGTGCAACCAGCTGCCTGGAGGTCTTCCATATGTTTGAAAAAAAGAAAGAGAAGGATGAGTCCTGTCCGTATGTCATCCTGTCCTGAATTCCCAGGAAGCTTCAGTTGAAGGGCTCTGTGTGGCCCTGGGGAAATGCAGTGACTCAGACACAGGTTTTAGTGTGGGGATCCTTTGAGGTCATGAAAGTGTGACTGTTTCTAGCTCTTAGATAATGAAAACAAAGCACAAAGCTAAATGGCTTATAAAATTAGTTTTAGGATAAGAAAATATGTCTCTGAAATTTGCTGGTTACTGATTTATTGTGTCATTAATGCCATTTGGGATTATATACAGTGAGGACCAGTTTATGTAGACATCCTTGATGCTCCTAATAAACTCCATTTAAAACTGATTTTTTAAAACTCAAAACTACTTTGAATCAAGGTAAAGGTTGCTTCCAAGGTGGTGGAGTTCTTTCCTTTTAATCCACAGGTTTTTAAAACACAAGAAGTATTTCTTTATGTCTCCTTTTTGATTTGTCTTCATATACTGCTGAAACAAGCAAATTCAGATTTTACATTGTTAGTGATAATACAGTCAAAATGTATTGAGTGTAAAGGGTGGGAACAGCTAAAGGTTCCCTGTTAGAAATAATAATATAATTCTAATATTGAAATTATCATTACTGAAATAAATATTTATTCTGTAGGCCTGCAGAAAAAGTTCAGTGGGAAAAATCTACCAAAAATTAAAGAAAACGTTGAATATACTGAAGAGAGCTCTTCATGCAACCAAAGGTCAGCTAGAACTCATTCAAACACAACATCGTTAAGACTTGTTAATAAATTACATTGTTTTGCCTTGTGAGATGGCTCTTGGAACAATGCAGTCTGAATATCAGTGCACTGATGTTTGTCAGATTATTTATTGACACCCTGTAAAGACGTTTTAAAGTTGTTGCTTTTGTCTAAAACAGTGTAGCTCTGTGATTGAATTTGGTTCTGTTCTTCAACTGCAGTAATCAAGTGACTGGCAGAGGAACAACAGATTTCAAGATAAAAGAAAAGGAACCAGAAGAAAGAAGTGTCCCACTGAAGGTGAGAATGCTGGCTTGCTTTTTATCTACTAGAGATGGAGGATAAATCAGAGAAGTGTGACACATTAATTTCTTTCTCTATTCAGGTAAAATTTCCTATGAATTATGTCTGTGTGTGCCCAGACATTTTTCAGGCTGAACTTGGTCCTGTACTTTGGATTACATTTTCTGTGTCTTTGACCAGAATAAAAACTGTTGGAGCTACTGGATGCATGAGAAAACATCAATACTAATTATCCTGGACAAGGCAAGCCTGTAGGAATTGTGTTGTGTGGAAGAGGTCTCAGTAGATTGTGATTCCAGAGAATTGCTCACTTCTAGGTCAGGCACAGACATTTAACAGGTCCCTGATGCTCTTGTGTTACTAAAACTGGAATAAGGTCATAGGAGATGATGGTACAGAAGTGTTACAGGACAGTTAGTACTGCAGTGGCAAGAGAATAGTGAACTGGGTGTATTTGAACTGAAATCTGCTGCAACAAAGGACACAGGTGATACTGGTATAAGATTTATTTTTCTTTAAAATGTTGGCTCTTCTTTAGTCTACCAATTATTTACATTTTCTACAAAATGCCTAGTTTTATAGAATCTACTGCTTACACATCATAGATGTTTGTATTTACAGAAACGGTGTAGGATTCTGAAAGTGAGGACTGGGTATCTGAAAAAAAATAAAATCAAAAGACAATGAAGTTCAATACTTTACCTCTGTTGTGCATAAGTTCAGTTGATATTAGTATGCCTACAACAGCAGTTTCATCCAGCAAAGATTGCAGAACCAAATTATGGGATAGTCGCCTTGAATTTTAGAGCTGTAAGAGTGCGGATTCGTTAATGTGCATGAAAAATCTTGCCACAGATTACACTGTGATTAGCAGGCTTAAGTGCTGAAGTACTAAACAGTGAGATTTCTCAGCATCTGCTAATAAAGGATGATATTGAAATGCCTTTCTTTGTCTACTTGCAGTTTTTTCAGGTTGTTTATATTGCTCTTTAATTTTAGGAATCCAAAATAACCAACTTTGAAAGTAAAGGATGTTTGAAAAATGCTGAAGTGACGTCAAGTGAGTATAATGGCAATACATTATATTATTAAATATATTTTATATCAATAATAAACTAAATGTAAAATTCATTATATCATTTTATTTCTGTAGAAGTACTGGTCTTGTACTGTGCTGTTGTACTGGTTCTGACTGTGTTATATTAGGAAGTGAAGGTTTTGATACCACTGGCTGGACTTCTGCCTGTTACTGCAGTCTGTGGCTGGGCTCACATGAATTGGTTGTAGGCAGCACAGACAGACCCAAAGCACCTGAGACAGTCTTGAGCCCAGCCTGTTGGAAACCACATGATCTTGATTTTATCATTGACAGAACTAGTCCTGAACATGATTTCTTCAGTTTACTCAAACCTGCATTTCTAAAAGCTTGTGACCTATTTAAGAATTACCCTGCTGGAGGCTAAATTCTTAAAGGCTGTCTTGTGAGCCTTGGGCGAAGAAGGTATCTTCTCTTGGCTTATGGTAGTGTATGGAAATAAACAAAGGATGCCCTTTGTTTGCTTCTTTAACTGTATTATGACTCATTATGAGATACTGACATGACAATGCTTAGTTCATTACAGGAATGAAACTCAGATAAGGAAATCCTGATGGTTTGTACAAGATGATAGATTTTTTTAGCCACCTTTTTTGTCTCTTTCTCTAGGTACAGAAATTACTCTTCCCACAGGTGTTTCCACCTTTCTGATAGATTGTTTAGATGAAGATTCAGCTGCAGATTATAGCACTGCTAGCAACAGCCTGAAGACTTATTCATCCCCTGAAGCATTCAGAGATGACAGCCTGAAGACTTATTCATCCCCTGAAGCATTCAGAGATGATGATTTGGGTGACACTTTTGGGTGACTTTTTTTCAGTTTTATTTGATGTAGAAAATGTGGGGAGACTGTCTACAGTAGCGAGACTAGCAGCCTCCCTTAGTGTGACTCACCGGGTCACATCTTTGCTATAAACCTGTGCTTAACATGAAATCTGTGTATCTTTCCTTTAATCTGGTGTTAATCAGGTCCTTGTGTAATTTGAATCCTACTTGAAACATAAAGTATTCACTGTTGACACAAGCTGTTTATTGGGAATGACACACAAATGTGTGTTCAGTCAAATTCCTTCCAAACTTTTCTGCAGCTGTTTGAGCCAAGACAGTGCTTTAATTTTGCTTTTTAGTTCCTGTCTTGCAAATGTGATTGCTTTCAGTTTGGTCATAAATTTAATAACTCAATGAAATTCAGCATAAGAAATCTGCACTTATATTTTTTATGTCCAGAAAGAGGCAATTTTTACTCCATGGACCTTGGCAAGTACAAGAACTCTACTCTCCTGGACTCCAGCAAAGCAGTGACCATAGATAAGATACCACAGATCTCAAATCTTTCAGCAATATTAGGTAATTCTTTTCTACAATACTTCAGGATATAAACATAAACAAATCTCACTCTGGTGTGAGGAATCTGTATAAAATATATAATGGTCATTTTATGTAAGGTCTGTCTGCATAATAGAGAGCAGCTGTCTGCTAGTGGTCTGTGTTTGCTTCCAATGTTGTACTTTATAAGTTAGTTCGCACTAAAAAATTGTCTGGTCCAAGCTGGCATTTAAAGTTTAGCGTTCATGTTTTTGCTTTTTTTAGAACCTGTACCAGAGGATTTTCCAGACCGATGTATGCCAAGGTAATCACTACAGCACTCTTTGATGCACCTAAATGTTTAGACTCTTCTCTTTTGAGTGATACTTAAAAGAAAGGCCGTTACAAATAAGCCTCTGCTCCTGCAGACACTTCTGTGGAGTTTCAGCTACCTGTGATTTCCTTAACTTTGATATTGGTGAAATTTGAAACTGGTCAGGGAAGAGTTTGCCTTACAGATTTCTAGTTTGGCCTTGCAACTGTAGGGAAGTCAATGTAAGAGAACTCAATGAAGGATTTTATGGAAGGAGATGACATTTATATACAAAATCCCTAAAAAGCAAACAGCTAAATAAGTTGCTTTTATGAAATTGCACTAATTCTGTCAGATTTCATTCAGTCACAGCAAGAGGGGTGTGCTAAGGTAGTCTGGCCAGGCTTGTCTCTGTGGTAGAGGATGAAGGGTATCTGTTGTCAAGTCTTCTTTAAGTCTGACATTCTGTGCTTGCCCAGAGTAAAATCAGTTTACAGGCAGGTCTTTTACGTTCTTTAGGAATCATCAGCTTACATGGGGAGCTCCTTTGCTTTGAAATCCTGCTGACTTTATATTATAATCTTGGGCCAGGTTACTGCCTGTTGATAGTGTTTTCTTACTTGGAATGCATCTGCCAAGAAGTACAATGGGGGGGGTGCGTGTGTGCTGTGCTGACACCCTGTTGACACCCTCCTGTTGCTGGATGCCAGGTTTTCTCTGACAAGTTGTCTGTGGTAAGGTTTTATCACAGAGAAGGGTCTTCTATACTTGGCCTTGTCACAGTGCTGCCTTCAGGTTCTGATATAAGAACCTGAGGAACAAGAATGTTTTTCTAGGAACAGCATCATTTCTTTTAACCCTTGTGCTTCTCCTTCCAGTCTTATATGCAGACATTTTCATTCATAACACATATCAGTCTTAGTGTTACAGATCTCTGTCCAATTGATTCTGAATTTTCTTGTAAACCTAATTTCCCCTGCATCCTCCTTAAATGTGTTCTGTCCTAGAATGCTGAAGTGCTAAGTATTTAGTGAGTCTTCTGAGGGTCTTAAATTGTGACAATCCTAATGATAAGATGTGTGACTTGATAAACTATCAAATAACTGTAAAGGGTGATTAAGCAACTCCTTGACAGTATTCTTTAAAATAATATTTATCCCTTTTCACTCCTAGGATTTTCTTATTAATAGTATTTTTTTAATATTAACATTAATTCAGAATAGTTCTTCTTTTCTTTTTCTCCTCTTCTAGAAAGAGATCATCAAATTGCTATTACAGTTCTTCAGCAGGAAGCATTTCAACTACACTGGCAGGTAAAATATGACCTGAAGTAGTTGTACTAGCTGTGAGAACAGAATATTCTACCCAAACTTAAATGATTGCACATTATCTAAACCAGGCTTCTGCTGTGTCATTTGTCTTCCAGCACAGACTAAACTCAGTTGTGTCTAGAAGGGAAAGTGTATATTGAAAAATCATCCCAGCAAATAGGACTTAGTTCTAATTAGTGTGTTAGGAGAAGAAAACAAAAACAACCAACCAACTGAAGTCTGAGACCCTGAATTTTTCCATTTAATCACCCATGATGCTCAATGAAAATTGACATTCCTTATTTACCTTACCCAGGAACATAACTGTTTGTGCTGTGCTCTTTGCTTGAGTCTATTTCATATCAGCATCACAAATACGTTTGAGTCTGTGATATAACTACAGTTCTGACCTGTGACAGATACAATTCTCTGTGTAGCCCAGGTACCACATTATATCCCCCTGCTTAATTTGGAGTGTAATGGCAGCAGAAGTTGCTGCTGGTAAGGACTGCTGTGATTATGCCGTCTCTGATCCCACAGTATTTACCCAGCTCTAAATAGCCAGGTGAACATAAGATTAATAAGCAGCCTTGTTTACAGAATGGGAGTGAGGTAAAGCAGTCCTGATGGTGGGGAGGAGACGAGGGTTATATTGGAGGAAAGAACTGTGTTTACATGGGTGACTTTGCAATTATTCCTCTTTGGAAATCATCCTGTAAGACATGGGATGGGGAGTAGCTGTTGTCTTTATCTCAAAGTTAATTAATGTGTTGGAAATCTGTCACAGGAAAAAAACTCTGTAAAATAACAGCTGCAAGAGAGAGAACTCCAGACCTAAAAAGTGGTATGCACTGTTCTTCACCATTAGGACCGGAAAGCAAGGTGAAAGATCCTTAATAAATCTGTGAGGTTGTAACACAAATGATTTTCTCCTTGTTTGGGTGGAAAACTCCACCTAGAGGAATAGTAGTTCCTGCTACATTTGTAAAGCGGTGTTTGCAGCCAGGGCAGAGTGGAGATGTAGCTTGCCTCTCCCTCTCAATAGAGCGGTAATCATGGATGTCCCCAAGCTCACTGTTTTTCAGACTGGCTGTGTCAGTAGTACTGAAATGGGTTGTGTTGAGATTGACTATGACAGGGGGACTCTTTTTTTAGTGCTTACAAGGCTGTAGAGATTCACTTTGTAACACAAAATGTAATTGTTTCACTATTTAGCATGATAAACAAACAGCTAAAGCCAAAAGGTGGAAGAAAGGAAAAAGTAGTTTTAATTCCTTAGAAGAAGGTTCATCATTGTTTAGGCAGCTTGATGCTCCAGAAGACACGTCAGTCAGATCAAAGGGGTTGACAGCAGAAGTTCTGCCAACCAAATGCACAGATGCTGTGGAGGTGAGTATTCCCATTGTGCCCCACGGATTAACACGGGCATGGAATGGAAGTGGGAGTTGTGAATCCTGACCGAAATTACAATTAAATAGGATAAGTGGCAGAAAGTGCCACATCTGAAATGTCTATGCTGCAGTAAACTAATTCTTGGTCTTAATTTTGGAGAGCATAAGAGCAAAAAAACTCCTGAATGACAGGAATTCCATACTTAAAACTGAAGAACTAGTAGTGATTCTAAATGGAGTTCTTAAAGTACTGTATATTAGGAAAATACCATGAGAGTAATAATAAACAGCAGACTTTGAAACTGATACTGAGTTCTGTTTTTGTTTAGCAAATGACTTCCACCATGCTAATCATGGAGGAAAACAAAGTCCTAAAAAATCCTGGTAATGCTCAGCCTCTAGAGCTAGATGTGAGTGTCTATCTAATCTTTTTATTTTTTTTTTTTAATGATTAGAACCAAAGAAATCATTCCTTGTGGCACATTGCATTTCTGCCTATATATATGTTACACTGCATATTGCACAAGAAACTGATAAATTCTGAACAATTAAAAAACCCCAAACAACCTAATCTAGGAATTTGTTTTGTATTTTGGCAAATGTAATGTAAAACCAGCACTAGTATCCTTACTTGAACAAACTCTTTGACTCAAAATTGATGTTTAAATGGCAGTTTGAATTCTTTGGCAGTACAGTACTGTCACTTGTCTCTTCACTCTTGAGCTAGTGCATATTAGATTAATAAATAAGAGAACATTAGGGTCTTGCTGAATCCCTAAATAATTTTTATTTAAGCAATAGAATATCTTTTGCATGAGCCAACAAGCATTAGCCAGTCTGAATTGTTGTTTGTTATTTAACTGGGCACTTACTCCTGTATCTCTTTTATTTCAACGGAGCTGTAGTTTAGCTTGTCGCCGGTGTATAAAGCCTCACCTGGGGAAGACCTGTTCCTGAATACCACAGGTCCATTTGTAAATTCAGAAGAAATTGGTCCTGTGTCTCTGAGCTCAGAAAAAGAAATTATTCCTCAAAGTCCAGAAGAAAAGAATATTTTAAAGGTTCTGATTTTATTGCACTTCTTAAATCCAGTTTTATCATGCTAATTTCTATTGTACTGTATATTTAGTCCTTACAGTATCAAAACTGCTAAAGAGAATGTTAAAGCTTTGAAGCTTTCTATCACCCTTTCTAATAGCATGTTGACTACTACACAAGTAGTCTTAAATGTTTTCTAGTGACATGCCTTGAAATCTGCATGTAATCTCTAATTTCCCTAGAAGAAAGCTTTTAGCTCTTTCAGAGTATTTCTTCAGTGGAAATAGCTGTGTGAATGAAATGTCATTAATCTTTTCAGCCTCTGTGTGACAGACAAGAAATCTGCTCCATTGTTAGAATGTCACCAGGCCAGAGGCCTTCCCAGCTCCAGCAAGTTCCAATTAACTGGAAAGAGTTCTGCCTTCCCAAAGGAGTGCCTGAAGGTAAAGGAGTATATAGACTTGGTACACTGTGCAGATGCTAACTGGTTAGTTGTGTGTTTAAAGGTTGTTGGGCTTTTTTTAAAAGTCTGAATATTTGGAAAAATTGCAAGGCTAAAAAGAATGAAAGATGCATAAAACTTCAACTCTCTGGCTTAATAGTGTTCTTGTGCAATAGTATTTTATTAAAATTGCACTAACGTTTTCTCTTCCAAGGATCTTTAGCATAGGAATTAATATAAGTCATAGGCTACTTCACAATTAAGGCCTTACTATTATTCTGTGCTTTATTTCTAGGGTAAGCCTCAGTTGAACTTTGGTATTCACTACCACCCCTCTACCAAAGTAGTTCAAATTATCAGTAATATTTTTCTTTAAAATTTATTTGTTTCTCATAAGGTTTCTGTTATTTTCTTCTGAAACCCTTAACATAGGGAAAGCTCCTTTTTTCACTTCCTAGGTTTTTGTTAAACCTTTTGTTAAACAAAAATGAGACTGTGAACAAAACTGTCTCATCACTTTAACAAAGAGGTCCCTTTCCCATCTCTCATGAAGTTTCTTGGTGTACCACTGGATGGCATGTGTCTTCCAAAGTTTAAAGCAGTTCTTCTCCAAGTTTCCTGCAAGTTGTGTGTCATTCTGTTTTAATTCAATACAAAGATACTGTATAAGTGTGGCAGCTTTCAAAAGTACTGAACACACAAAAATTTTCATTTGCAGTCTCTTAGGTCGAAATGTCTTCCTACTTTATTACCATACATACAGGATCTAGAATGCAGGGAAGTGCTTATAAGCGTGTAGTTAATGACACTCATCCAATGCTTCTCTACAAATCAATGAACTAGGATGCTAGGTCATGTGCCCTGGCATATTATGGTAATACAGAACACAGGTTGTACTTGGTGGGCAAAGTGAATTGGAAATCAGCAAGTAGTGTTGTCAGAACAAAAGTTTGGTTTTCTTACTCCTTTTCTAGAGGGTGCTGGTATCAGGAATTAGACCCTACTGTGGTGGGGGGTGACATGGTTCACCGGAACCTGGGCTAGCTCAAAGTGTGACACCAGCGCCGTGCCAGGTATGGGGAACTGCCTCAGTATGGGAATTACTGAAGGCAGAACCTTTAGAGCCACTTGCTCTACGGTGCAGGATCGCTAACCAACATCTGGCATCAGGCGAAGGAGAAAGGAGGAGGCTCTCTATATGAGGTTCCAGCACGGAAGGGTTTATTGGTGCCGAAGGGGTCAGGGACAGAAGAGTGCTGAGCACCTGTGTGCAAGGGATTAAATACAGGGAGTGGGTACAAAATCTTAATCAGTAACACACAGGGGAGGAACATGAGATGGGGTTTATAATATAGGAACCAATGAGGATAAGGGGGAAAAGAAGACAGGTCACATGGGCCAAAGGGGCCTTGAGGAATAAGGGCTTTCCAAAGGGGAGGTATTGGAAGGGGGCTGGGCTAATGGGATTCACAGGGAAGTGTCCAGAACAAGGGGCAGGGTTTACAATGACAGGGAAAGTACTGCAATAAGGAGTCACAGTGATGGGCAGCTTAGGGGAGGATACAACTTAGGGGCAAACCAGCTCTGGGGGAAACATGGGGGAGCATAGAAATAAACTATTAACAATGAAACTATTAAAACAAATACAGACCGCAACAGTGGGATTTATGCTGGATGTTCTCTGCTCAAGGAGTCTTTTAGATGATGCTGGTCTTCACTAGGAATGTACATATACTCAAAACTATTGTTCTCACTAGCAAATGAGACCTGCAAGATCCAGATCCTTCCAGACAAATGCTAGCATTGAATATATCTAGTGGACATCTGAACAGCTGGTCAGATCATTGAGCTTTCTCTTACATGTGAGAATGTACTACTTTACTGATAATTATCACTTTTTTTTCCTCCCAGATACTATTACAAGTACCAAAAATTGGATCTACTGTAAACAAAGATGAGATTTTTGGCTCTCAGCAGGAGTTCACAGAAGAAATGACCATCTTGCTGCTGTGGCAGGGTGGTAAAACAGAACTCCTAACTAGTGAATAATGGTTGTATTTTTTTTTGTTAATGTATGTTGTTTGAAATTTAGTATTACATGTTTCAGTAAGCTAGTAAATACTCAAATACTTTATATTAAATTATTTTGTACAGCAGCTAGATCCTGTTCTGGGCATTATTCTGTAAGGATTCCATAAAGATGATTCTTCAGTTTGTTTAGATTTTTAAAAAGTGTGACTGAAGACCAGCAGACCAAATTGCTTTAATAGAATTCGTTTTGTCTCTCTCTCTGCCAAGATTTCTCGTTTCCTCTAGTAGCATTAGCATCTACAGATGTTAACTCTTTAAATGTTAATATTGGTTATGAAGGTAACTGCATATCCTGAAATGCAGTTTCAGACCGTGAAAGCATTCATGTACTCTTGGGGACCCAGAAGTCAATGTATGTCACCATTAAACTCCTTGAGTGCTTAGATCTACAGAACTTTGGAGGTACAGAACTGTGTGTTCTGCTGTAATTTGATTTCTGAACATGAATGCAGGTCACCTTCACCCCATCATCACTCTGAATTGGCTCCTAATGATCAGCACTGTCACCATTCTGGGCACATCCACTGCCCAGCCATTGCCATTTCAGACTCCTTCCTGTTTCATCTCAGGTATGTTGTAATACCACATCTCTTGGTCATTATTTCTTTTAGTGGCTTCAGACTTAGATAAAGTAAATGCCTTACATGAATGCCCACAATGGTGGGAAAAACCCTTTTATAGCTGAACTGTTTGAAGAGATGGATATTGACATTCTGGAATTTCAGGTTACTGCTCACACTGTGTCTGCACAAGTCAAATTCACAGAGCTTCCTGTTCAGCTCGTGGATTGTTAATTCATAAATGTTGTTCTTAATGTGCTGAATGTCTCAGAAAACATTGTCAAGAACACATTTTTTTCCACTAGAATTCATTGCACATTAAAGTAATTTGGACTCCTACGGTGTTCTTACTACAATCCTTTACTCAGATTTTATCTGAACAAAAAGGAAATTTTTCAATGTTTCAGAATGCTGGTATGGCTTTCAAAAGTCTGATTTTGTTTCTCAGTGTTATCACCCTGGAAAATAGTTTTGTATTTCCAAAAAGAGCATGACAAGAAGACATACAAAATCCACAACTGTAGTTTGCATTTGAAAATACCTGTGAAAGTTCAAACCCTGATCTTTTCTCCATTGCTCTGGGGTAGAAGGAAGTGCAAATAATTGCTGCTGGATTAGTTTGTGAACAAGTATTATATAAACATTCTAAATGGCTCATGGTTAAAAATTATGCCATTAAGCTATTTTTCTTTCAAGCGTTAGTAGAATGAGTTCTGCCAATAACTCCTTGGAGTCCTGTCAGGTATGCTTTTAATTATCAATATCCTTGTTCTTGCAAGTCTGCTAAAGTCACTAGTAATTATGTGAGAATCTAGAGCCCCTAGGAGACAGAGGTGAGCTCCTTGATGTAGCTTTAAGCAAAATTGAAGGTTACATATTTAAAAAGTTGTGCTTATGATGATTATTCAAGTAAAAGATGGTCCAGAATAAAGTTATGTTTATTGTAAGGGTATTCTGGAAGTCATAGGAAAAAAACACTTATTTTGCCCCAGGCCATCTGGTAGTGTTATACAAAGAGACTAATACTGGTAAACTAATTGGAAAGTACAAGAGAGGAAAATGGTCTGTAACTGTGGAATTGACTGTAGCAGCCTAAATATTGCTGGGGTTTGCTTTTATTTTTCTTGATGTGATGAGGCTGTATAGGAGGACAGAAATATCATGTACCACAATCTCTTGTCCTTCCCTTCAGTTATGAAAGCACCACTACTTATCATCTTTTGTCTGACTCTTAGAGAAAGTGTAATTAATTGCCAGGCTAGCTCTTTGCCCCAGGGAAGGAAATTCATTTTGAGGCTGCAACAATCTGTACTCTTGTTCTGCTGTTCTCAAAGGAAAGGCATTTTCCTATAGTTTGGTTTTCAGCTGAAAAATTACTACATAAAATTTCATTCAGAGTGGAAACTGGCTTTTCCATATTGGTAGATAAAGGTTATGGGTCATGGCCAATTAATGGGTAGGACAGAGGAGGTTATTTGTGAAGTAATTCAGGAGAAGAATCTGTTCAGTGTCACCAGGGCTGCTCTGTCACACCCCAGACATGATGAAATCTTAATGGCTTGACTGGAATTGCTTCCAGCAAGTCAGTCCATGCAAGAACTCTGATAATTCTTTATCAGCAGGAATTGTGCATGGCAGATGCATGTTGAATAAATATACTATATAAATCTGGAAGAGGTTTCTCATTAACACTGTTCAGTTATTCTTGTTACCTGAAGTGCACTTCTAGGAGACTAACTCCAAGTACTCAGAGATGGAGGGAGTTGTTTCTTGTACTGGAGTTGTAAAAAGGTACGTGTAGAGGCTGGTGGAGGCTAAACCCTTACATGCAAATGGTTCTGGTTTAGTTCATAGTCTTTAGACACAGAAGAGAGATGTCTGGGGCCCAAATCAAAATACGCTGAATGTACACATAAATTCATTATATTTAAGGGACTCCATCAGCTTGAACTGTAATGCACTTGAGCTTAGCTAAGTCTTCTTCACTCTAAGTTGTGAAAGTACTGAAAGCTGAGTTATATATCCTGGCCAAAATTCTATCATTTTGTTTTGTTCCCTGAGGACTTTTTATCTTTGAGACTTTTTCATATTTGAGATTTATGTATTTATGTACTCCTCTTGAAGCCAGGAGGCTTCCACGTGGTGAAAAGATGTAAAGGTTGGTCATCTATGAATCTGTGGCAGACACGTGTCTTCTGGATAGAACAAGGGGGAAAAGATGAATCTAAACATTAATTCCTGTTTTGTGTTAGAGTTGTCTGCAACTTCTGGTAGATAGAAAACGAAGTTCCTACAGATGGGTGATTGTGAAGAATCATTATGTAGATATGTTACACATGCACTAAGTTATGCCTTAGAAATAATCTGCTTAATTTAATCTTACATCATACGTTTTTTTAACTTAATTCCATTTTCTAAGGAAAGCAGATGCGTCAGTTTTGTCAGTCCTTAATTAAACTTCCTAGCAGGGTTACATCTGAACAGTGAGACACTGAAGGAGTTGGTTGTTACCAGGGTTTCTGTTTCACTTAAGTATTACTAATAAAGAGTTTTATAAAAAGGCATAGATACTTTTGATTTTACAAAACCTATCACACTTTTTTTTTTCTTTTGTTTTGGAGTCAGTTGCTGGGTTTCATGTCCTAAATACTCTTTTGTGGATGGATGATTTACCTGTAATGATGGCTTCCTCGGCCATCATCTACACACGTTCCACCTTCCCTGCAAGTTTTGAGTGCAGTGCATCCGAGCTGAGCCGTTCTGCTACAGCTGTGGGAGAATCGCGTTGTGTGCCTGGAGGGAGAGCGGACAGGAGCTGGATTTTCGAGGTTTGGGGTAAAAGACGTCACCTTTTTCTGGTGCACCACCTGCACGCCGAATCCCGAAGCCGCTGGGTACGGCCACGAGAGGGATCTGATGCCTCGATCGTGACTTCCTCTCGCCTTCCTGGGGCTCCTGCCTGTAACTTCCGTCCGAAGAAGGAAAACACAACAGCGGCGCGTTATCGCCGCCCCCGGGGGATTTCTCGGCCCTGCCCCCGGCGGAGCTCCGCCGGGAGCGGGCGCTTTTCCCGCATACGCTGCGGTCGCAGGAGCTGCCGAGGCCGCAGGAGCTGCCGAGGCGGGTGAAAGGGAGGAACTCCGCACTCCCCCCAGGCCCGGCGCTCCCCGCGGGCTCTGCGAGGCTCCGCTCTTTCACGTGGGACCGCCCCACGGGGCCCGCCCCGCTCGCCGCCCGGCCCCCGCTCACTCCGTCCCTCCCTTCGCTTCCTCCTCCCCTCCTGGCAGCGCCGGGTGACTAATTTCTGTCATATGACTGTGACACCAAATGGAGCGGGGCGGGCGGAACTAGCCTCGGCGGAGGGACGGCGCTGCGCGGAGCCCAGCGCCTCGACGGCGGGGGCAGCGGCAGCGCCCCAAAATGCCGCCTACCCTCTTCCAGAAGCTCTTCAACAAGAAGCATGGGCTGATCTCCCCCGCCAGGGATGCCCGCGACGACTGTATCTTCAGGTAATCGGGGCGGGCCGCGCTCCTTCCCCGTCCCAAACTTCTGCTCCGAGTTCCTCTCTTCCCCCCGCCCGGAGGACGCGGGGGCTGGCAGACCCTTCCCTGCCCCATCGGCACCTTCTCGGCGATGTGCCCCGCTTCCCCCAGCCCCGGAGGATCCGTCTCCCTTCCTCCGCGGGAGCCCCAGGGCTGCCCCGGCCGGGCCCCTCCGGCGGGCACGGGGCGGGAGCCCACCGGAACCGCCACGTCGGGGCCGCTGCGGTGCCTCCGCTCAGCTGCCTCCTCACCGGAGCCGCCGCTCCCAGCGCCGGGCCGTGCCTCGCCCCCAGCCCGCGGCTGCCTCTCCTTCCCCGGCGCGTGTGAGGCCCCGGTGCCCGCGGGCCCCTCCGGGGATGCTGCGGGCCGGGGGAAGGTGACAGGCGGTCAGGTCCCCAGGGAGCAACCTCAGGAATGGGGGAAAAACGTGAAGTTTTGGCCAAGAGAGGAGTGGGGCTTCTGGTTAAATTCGTCATGCTCTGACCGCAGCAGCACTGGATCGGCCGAGCGGGGCCAAGCTCAGCACGGGGAGCAGAGCAGGGCAGGGGCCCCAGGGCAGCCCGAGGGGCCGGTGTCTGTGGGGGCCGGGGCGGGGAGAGGGTGCTTGAGGGTGCTCCGCGGGGCCTGGGGCTCGCCCGGGGCTTCCGCGGGCTGGTTTGCTTGGAAACAGGTAGCTTTTGTGCTGAATACACGTGAATAATAATGGTCACGCTCGAAAGCGATGCCGTGTCTGCGTCCTGGCAAAGGGGGATCCTGCAATATCTTTTTAAAGTGCGGTTTGCCACCTGGATGCAAATAAAATCTTCATTAGTAAGAGTTACACGCTTCTTGAAGCACTTCTGACAACGTGGTGAAGCTCTCCTCCCACCTGCTGCCTTGAAATGTACTGCCTACAAATGATCAGCCCTTGGGTTTCTCTGTAAAGGGACATCTCTGACTGATGGGCTTAATTTTCTGTGGTAGAATGCTCCTTTTAGCCTCAGTATTTAGCAGATTAGATGGATAATAGTGTATCTGCAGTTATCTAAGGGCAAGGGGTTTCAAAAAATATTGATTGGATTATTTAAGTCCTCAAGGAGTCAAGACACGCTCCTGGACATTACCTGGAGCTCACACAACTTCTGAAGACACTGATCTGTAACTGCTTTCACACCTCTATGATATTCACTGTGGAGTGAATCCTTTTTTAAACGATCTTTTCTAAGAAACAAAATGTTTTAATGACATTGATGTCATCTTATTTTCCAAATCATCTGGATCAGAGCCCTTGGTGTGGAAGGGAAAGGGTACTAGGACTGCTCTGTGTAATTGTCTTGCCTTTTGCCCTGTCTTGGTGATGGGTTTGTCTAGAGACTGGAGGCTCACGCAACAGCTGCAGTGCAGACCTGGGGCAGAAATGTGGGAATCACACCCGTGTTGAGAGGAGGAGAGTGAGTGCTTGGCAAGGTCTGTGCTTCCCTTGTCACCTGTATCGTTCTACGCCAAACTGGGTCTGAAATTTATAATGCTGTTTAGCTTTGTGTTATGAACTGTCAACTGGTAATAGGTGAATTTGTAGTTGGGTTTTTTTTGGTGGACCCACAGGTATAATTTGCAGGGAGAGGCTGATGAGGCTCTGGGGAAGGTGGGAGATCCAGCTCTGACTTAGGAAAGCCAGTAGTATTTTTTGAAGATATACAATACAGATGCTATCTAGACACATTGCCTAAGGCTGCTTTCATTTTCCAAATGGAGCTAAGTTTGTAGCTAAGATCAGAATTTGTTAGGATTATCAATTCCTGGTG